ATCACTTGTACTTGTTTTCTCAGTCTAAAATTGTCCTTCCTTTGTCGTTTTCTAAAATAGTCTATGTCATAGCGATTATGAACTTACCCTGTAAGTACCTCATAGATTTTTTTAGATTAATTATGGAGCATTTTTCTTCATTATGATAAATTAAGCAGGTCAATATATGTGTATATCATTATTAATAATATAGATACAATCGATTCTGTGCGTAAAAAAGTAAAATTTGATACAGTTTAGATTTCTGAACGTTCTATACAATAATACAAAGTCTGTGCTAGCGATGTTGCCACTCTATCAACTCCATCAACACTGCAGTAAGAAAGTCGAAAATATTTTTTTAAATAACATAATACAAAGATTTAGTATGTGTGAAAAAAACGTAATCACGTACGTAATTATGTTGCTTTAGTATTCGATTTTAATAGATAGAGTTCCATTGGTGACCAAAACACAATAAAACCAAATAGAAATTTCAGAAAAGTATGTCAATAGAGTTAAGAATTATGATTTTGACTATTTTAAATTTATGAGTGCCCTAACTGTGTTTGCTTAATTTTAATTATTAACCATAGCGCCAAGTGCTATTTATAATAAATTGTGGTAACTACATCTTTTCTATGATGTCTGGCAACACGATTATTATCTTTCATCTGTCATCTGCCAGTCTCGTTCGAAGTGGGTGGTGGGTACTGCGCAAATATTGTGCCGTATCATTATTTTTATATATCAGCTGATGATAGTTGGTGATTTATTAACATTATATATGGTTCTTGTTTTGTAGTTTAGTGTCCGGTCAATTAAGATAATTCTTAATTAACTGTTACGTAAACCTCGCTGTACCGAGTGTATATAATTATAACGGCCGATAAAATTTTAGGCAATGGTTATTATGCCCATACATTCATTACAAGTTCCTAAATTTTATTCAATAATATCAAGAAGTATGCATCTGCTTAGAAATCACGGTTACATCAATGGCCAGTGGATAACAGCGGACAATAATTCAGTATTTCCTGTATTTAATCCCGCGGATGATTGTAAAATTACCGAGGTACCGGATATGGATACTTCTGATGCCCAAAAAGCTATAGAAGCCGCTTCAGTGGCGTTCAAAACTTGGAAAGATACCACAGCCAAAGAACGCTCATATGTTCTCAGAAGGTGGTTTGATTTGTGTCAAAAAAACACCGATTTCATTGCTGAAATAATAACAGCCGAGTCTGGTAAGCCGCTTTCTGAAGCGAGAGGTGAAGTTGCATATGGAAATTCATTCTTGGAATGGTTTGCTGATACAGCACGACATATAAATGGGGAAGTGCTTGCTAGTCCATGGCCTAATAAACAGGTTATAGTTACAAGGCAACCTTTGGGTGTTGTATCAGTAATAACACCGTGGAATTTCCCCTTTGCAATGATAACACGTAAAGTTGGTGCTCTAATGGCAGCAGGGTGTACATGTGTGATAAAACCTTCTGAAGATACACCATTATCTGCATTAGCTGCTGCTGAACTAGCTGAACAAGCAGGGGTGCCAAAAGGTGTTGTTAATGTAATTACTGCCAGTAGGAAAAATGCACCAAATGTTGGCAAGATACTTTGCGAAGACCCCAATGTCGGATGTATTTCATTTACAGGATCAACTCATGTGGGAAAGATTTTATATGGTATGGCTGCCAAAGGCATCAAGAGAGTTGCTTTAGAACTAGGGGGAAATGCTCCCTTTATCGTATTTTCTAGTGCTGATATGGATAATGCTTTAGCGCAAGCAATGTTAGCTAAATTTAGAAATAATGGCCAAGCGTGTGTTGGAGCTAATAGGTTTTTGATTCATGAAGACATTTATGACGAATTTGTAGAAGGATTTAAGAATTGTATTGGACAAAAATGTGTTCTGGGTCCAGGAACAGAACAAGGGGTAACCTGTGGACCTTTGATAAATGAAATGCAAGCTGAAAAGGTGTCTGGTTTAGTAGATGATGCAGTTAAGAAGGGTGCAACACCCTTACTTGGTGGCAAATTTGCCTCAGATCTCGGAAGTAAATTCTATGAATCAACCCTATTAGTTAATGTTAAACCCGATATGTCAATTTATAAGGAAGAAATATTTGGACCAGTTGCTGTTTGTCTAAAGTTTAAAACTGAAGATGAGGTTGTAAAGATTGCAAATAACACAAGGAGCGGACTAGCAGCTTATGTTTTTACTCGGGATCTTGGGCAGGCATTCAGAATGTCTCGTCAATTAGAGTTTGGAATGGTTGCAATAAATGATGGTATTTTATCAGCTGCTGAACCTCCATTCGGAGGAATAAAGGAGTCTGGCATAGGGAGGGAGGGCAGCAAACATGGTATTGAAGAGTACACTGACATTAAGTATACTCTTTTTTCAGGTTTAGATAAGTAAATTCTACTCTTATTAATAACCTGATTATGTTGAAAACATTGTTTAGAAATAAAACTATGATGGTTTTAGGTAAAGGTGGTAACTAATAGTTGTTACTTCAAATACACATCACAAATGTTAGTTATTTAAATGTTAAAAGTAATTCTTCTTTAATTATGTTGTGGTTTTCTTGTTTCCCGCTCTTGTTCCTATTTCCATGGATTTAATTTATTACACAGTTATAGTGCTCTAAAATTTTTGTTTTTAATTTGAAATAAATATTGTGTATTACGCATTCATGCAATTTTATGTGCCATAGAGTCTTGCATTTTTGTTGTTTTTTTAATTATTTTGGATTATTGTTTTATTAATTATAAATAAGTATTATTTTGTAAATGGTACATAAGTTTTAAGCATGTACAAAGAATTGAGCCTAGAAACCATTCCAGTCTTCCAATTAAATGTGATGTATAGAATTTTAAGCTAAAATTTAAGCAAATTAAAAGAAAAAAAAATGTTCATCATGTCATGAGATACTGCACGTTATTAATAAGAATATGGTTAAATCTCTTTAATTTATTATTCTTAGGTATACAAATATTATGGAGATGTCATCTTTTGTTATTATTGTTTTTTTTTAGTTTATATAGTATGTTATGGAAAATTTATAAATTCTTTGTTATTTACAATTTAAGTATAATGAAATATACTGCTTGTTACCTTGAACATTTTTTTATTTAGCATAAAATGACTTTTTATGAAAAAGTGGTTACAAAATAATGTGCAGAATGATATACCTATATCCAAATAGTGTTCCGACTAAACGACATACCGAGTGAATGTTACTGATGGTGGTTCTCAATTTTTGGGCAACATTATAAAAGATAATACCTTGCATATCCAATATATGTACATTTACCCAAAATAATATTAAAAACAAAAATAGTACCTACATATAGAATATTTATTATACACTAAAAATACACAGAATAGAGACTCGTAGTTTCCTATGTGTCTCTGATTATTAGAATTTTGGTGTGTAGGTAGACGGTCTGTACAACATTTAATATGCCTTTGAAAGCCTATTAGATGTTGTACAGACAAATAAGATTTTGTGCTAGGTATGAGTCGTTTAGATAAAAAACATTTACTGGAATTATTTAAAAAATTCATATAACATTCACAGTTGATTTAACGGAATTTCCAAATAAAATGTTTTATTTTTAAGATATAATAAAATCAGTCTCTCGACCACCTCTATTTCAGAGACGGATTAAGAATAAAAATATTTCAACCAGAAATTGAAATCCAACCCAATTTTCAAACCCCTATGTTAATTTTAATAAATATATATTATAGAGGTAAGATAACATAATTAAAATTGACAGTAATATTGAATGTGCTAATACATAAATAACTTAGTAATAAAAAAAAATAGTATTATAAAGTAAAATATTTACCACAAGCTAAAATTTGATTTTTGTAGAGTATCTGGGCGTAGGATTTTTCTTTAGAAAAATCACATGGTTGGATGCAGTGACTTGTACAAAATATAATTTATCCTAAATTTCAAAAAAGCAATGACAACATATGCTTCAAATAATAATTGTAAAATGGTAGAGAAACTGTTTAAATGGCGTAAAATATTACGAGATAGCGCCAAGTATTGTTATTTGTTAAAAACTCATTAAACAAATTAAAAAAAGTAAGTCTCCACATCCACCATGTGGAGATATTTATCAGGAAGGCGAATTCAAATCCCGCAGCGCCGATAAATTTTTAGCCATATTTTTTATAAATTTTTCATTATAAGATAATTGACAAAACATGTTTTCATACTTTTTTAAGTAGGGATCGAACCTACATCCTGTGGCACAAGTAAATTTATTATCCACTGTATGCCTTTAGAAAGTAATGTTACATAATAAAAAAACAATTGGTTTGGCCAAACACATCACTGTCTAATGTTTTTGAAAGTTGGAATTTGAAGGCGACATCCATTATCATCGTTGCCACTAGTACTGTCTTTACCATAAGGTCACACGGGGCCCGTGCCCAGACCTCCTGCGCTTAAACTAGAATTTTTTCTCCATTTTTTGTAGATATATTCCGACTGAAGTTTATAGAATAAATAAAACACATAAGATAATAGCAGGAAAATCTTTTTGTCATTCACCATTTTTTACTTTCCATCTGGGCCCTAAATTTGTGTGCCCTAGGGCCCCGATGTGGCCTAAGACGGCATTGGTTGCCACCCCTTATGTATACAGATAAATAAAATTGCAGTGTCTGTTTGTAATATTAGGATAACGACTTTTTACTAAATGCATATGGATGTATACACGGTACATATATCAAAATAAAATTTTTTACAATTTTGGTCTGTCTGTCTGTTTGTTCCGGCTAATCTCTGAAACGGCTGGACCGATTTGGACGTGACTTTCACTAACAGACAGCTGATGTAATAAGGAGTAACTTATGCTACTTTTATTTTAGACTTTTTTTATTTTAAATTCCACGCGGACCAAGTCGCAGGCACAGCGAGTCTTTGATAAAACTAGTCAAGTTAATGCAAAACAAATTTTTATATTTTTACATAATTTTTTTTCTTTTATAGAATACAAGAGGTGGATGACAGTTTCTTCGAAAAATTTGGTTCTATCCTGAAACAAGTTTCACAACGGGCTGCACTAGAAGAGTCGACCCCTTTGGCGCCGTTAAAGGAGGCGGAAGAGCAAGATGGCGAACAGAAAGAAGTTACGGACTTACAAGGGAGTCCTGGACAAGATTCCGATAGCGGAAACGAGACTTTGATGGACACTGACTCCGAGCCCGAAGATCCAGAAAAGATTGACCTCTACGTAGAAGCTGTTGGGTGGAATGTAAGTTTCTGCACTTTTACTTTTATAATATAATGTGGTAAGCAACATAATATATATATACTAAATACTGACAAGAAACATCTTATTAGTGGTTGTCATATTGATATAGTCTAAAAGACTAAACGCGTCTGATTCTTCATCATAAGTGCTAATTGATCACTCTGGGTGGGCCTTTATACATTGGACTAGATAAATATTTCTACAATTTAAATACTCACTCGGTCTTCTTTGAGGCTGTGGGTCTACTCTACTACATTAAAATTATATCTTTCTCAAGACAGGTGGGTAACGTTATAATATATACGTTGTATACGTTGGATAATATCATCAATCATAATAAAAATTGAAGGAAAAGTATGAAGAACGAACGATATTTTTTGCCGATAATCTGAATTATAATAAATTCTTCATAATTCTCATTTATGAGGTAGTCAGTGACTACCATTAGTTAATTTAATATAAACAGAATAATAACAAATAAACATAGATTTCAAACTGTTATAGAAAGAAACATTTCAGCGCCATTCAAAATGTTTGGAGTAAGAAAATATTCTACTATTGTATTGCTGTATTTATAACTGGGAATGGATTTGATAGTCGCTTCTGTTTTATTGTTTCTACATGGGCTGAACTAGACATTGAGTTGCGCTTATTTAAGGAAATTGGGTCGCGTTTAGTCTTCATTTATAGAGACATGCCCGCGGTATGTGTGCATAGGCACGGGTACGACGTGGCATTCTTCCAAAATCCCCACCTTATAACAGTTGCGTGGAAATGTTAACAATAACATGAAAAAAGTGTTTAATTCTGCCATGTTAATAATATGAAATTTTCTATTGATATTAAAAATTAGTGGCAATAGAGAAGTCGATGTGCATTTAGATTTTTGAGAATGGTAAATGTGCATATTTTGGGAGCAACACACTCGTCCCTTCAATGGCAAACAGCCAATTACTCTTACTTTCTCGCTCCATTTTGTCAACTTGCAAGCTAAAGTTCCCTAAACACGAACGTCATATTGAAATGCGTTAACCAGGTACTATTTCGTTTGAATATACAAAGTTTTTATTCTGCGATTCTTCTCTACAGGTTTCTTGGTTCGGAACTGTGGTCATTCCGAAACAGTAGAACATTAAAAGGCTTTTTAAAATATATATTTTTTTTTATTTCCGTGAGAATTTTTAATAGTTTTTGTAATATCTTTATTTATGTCATTAAAATATGACTTCATATCAATTCAAGTAACGTAATTCTTTTGAGTATATATAAATATAAATATTACAGATATTTGGGTATGATGAATTCTTATAAATAAACATAATCTATAAAGTTACTGTTCCCTGACAAATCTATAAGTATTAGTGTGGTTCGCGGGCTAGGAATGCTTGATTCTAGTGTCTAGATTACGCACGTAGTCTGGTTATCATCAATGCACAGACTTACGCAAGAATATTACGCGCGCACAATCAATCCAAATTATTTGTAGTTATTTAAGTAACCCAACTTCGCATCCGGTGCGTAATTACAACAAGAAATTTGCTTTGCAAAAAGCTTAAACAAAAATTATTTTAAAATAATTAACAATAATTTTTGTGCATTAATTTTTATTAATTATTTTGAATTATTAAAACAAATGATGTCTCACGTCATTGTTAATAAATTGAATTTAAATGGGGTGATAAACGCGTGGGCAAGTATAAAAATATTAAAAAATTGACAGGTAATTTGGCACTCTAAATTAATTGTAGATTGATACGAGAGTAAAACTTATTGTTTAAAAAAAAATTATGATGTTATTTTTACTAGCACTGGAAAATTCATGATAATATGAGTACGTTTGTTTTTATATCAAATTTGATTGTTCGTTATATCATGACCTCTAGGTTGCCGATATGCGGGGTCAAACTCTATCCTTAGCGGGAATTCGTACATATAGAGATATTTATAAGAACTCGTACATTTTCATGAGTGATGTACAAAACATCTTCAGTTTTAAACTTCATAGTTCGTAGCTGCGTTGTGTGAGTAAACTTGCTACTCATAACGCTCAAAGTATAAGCATCGAATGTTTAAAATACTGTGGTTTGTAAAATAAATAAATCGTTCGCCTCGCGCCCATATCTGCTTCTGAAGTGGGGACCTTGAACGAATTTTGAAACAACCGTTTAATCTTACCTATATCAACAATTTTGCTACCTGTGCTACGCTGTAAATTTTCAATTTATATGAAACATTTTTCCAAATAAAGATATATTATGCCCTAAGCACTAAATTTGAACGCTAAGCTGACGTTTGAAACAGATTTTGTTAATTAGCATTATAAAACTTATTAATAATTCTTATTCAGCCGTCGGGATTTCCACATCAGATACATGTACATAGACGAGAGCCTAGAAAGGAGACTACGTCATACTTAAGATTAGCATATTGTCATATACAAATAAGGAGACAACAAATGTTACTACTTGCCCACACGCGGAATCGAATATACGAGAAGTCCTTTTGATACAAAGTGCATTTTAATGCCGTGAAAATGATATAATTCATTTATAGTTAATTTTGACATCAATAGACTCTAAGATATCATTATTTGAATCATTTTATTGGGATTATATCGGATATTTTACCGTACTGAATACTGTTTTAAATTACATAAGGGTCAACAGACTGCCTGTTTATCTTGTCCGTATGGAACACATGTTCAACAATAGTCTTTTTAACTACCTTTGAGCGGATTGATCTTATAGCCTACGGATAAAATCGCTTCAATGACTTTTCTTACACTTAACGGTGTTTACTTTAAATACATTAGTAAATATTGATCCGATTGGAAGCTAATTGCTTAAATCGAAATGAGATAACGACGAAATAAAAAAAAATTGTTTAAAATGCGAATAAACAACGTTAACGACAAAGCGACGTTGAGGTGAGGCTGGATCAGGAATCCAGAAGAGGTGGGTTCGAGTCCCGTAGCGGAGAAAAATTTGTCGTCCCATTTTCTACAAATTTTAATACTCCATATGTTTCCGAATTTTATAAGTTTTTTATTTCGATGGGTTAGCTACGAAACAGTTATATGGAGTGTTGTGTGTGTGAAATATATATGGTTTCAAATTTAATTTTCTCGAGAAGGGTAATTCGTTTATATTTATGATAAATGAATACAGCAGCCCACGGACATCTGTTACACCCGAGGGTTCCAGATGCGTTTACAACCTTTTGAAAATTGGGCTCCGGCCACCGCACTCACCAGACGAAACGCGAAAGTTATATACTTCCACTTTACGCCGGTCTTCTGTGAGGTCGTGGAGTCCTAGATTTGCAAAATAATCGATTTAGCTGATAGCACGAAGGAAAATTTTGAACCAAATTTTGACACATGTAGATGGAACTTTTTGATGAAGATTAACAAGGCGCTCAATAATTTCTGCTTGGTTACTATCGGAAATATATTTATTCATATATTTAGGGCATGATATAGATGATGTACTATTTGCGTCTTTCGTATATGGGACCCGGATGGCGGGCAGTTGTGAATTGGTGATATCCTTGAGTTGCAACGTCTTTGAGAATAAATAATAAGCATATAAAACTCTTAAATTTCGACACATACGGCGTTGTATCAATTTTTTGTATCAGGTGTCTATTTACTATTTATATAAGAGCTATATGTATATCTCTAGAGTTGTGATTATTCAAGCCAGTAGACACGCTTCAGCTCATATCTTTCCGGTATTTATTCTGGACTATCGAGTTCAAAAGATGAATAACCTACAACAAGCTAAGCAAGAGTATAACGAACTATTTCTACATTAAATATATTGAAAATGCGAATATAAAATAACAGGAAAAATCAAAGAGTAGTTTTTCAATTACTACTCTTTAAATAACGGTCAAGTCTTTAATGGACCATCTGTATTTTACATTAGCAAAGGCATAACCTATTGACTGTGATTGCAGCATACGATTTATAACGCACCATTATGAATTATGTAATGTGAGTGAGATCATAAATGTTCAAGAAATGAGGTATGAATAAAAATGTAGACTGCTCATCTGATAAGTTTTCTTACAAAAACATAATAATACAACAAGAGAAAACGACAGCTGTGTTAAACAGTACTCAAAGATATTTTAAAGTACATGAAACGCTAATAACAAATTCAGAAAATTTGCCAGCTTGTTCGAAGTAACGAGCGTTTATGCACGCCGCAGCGGAAGTGGCGGGAATAAAAATTGGTATCTTTTATATTATTTGTTCGCGTTCGCATTCGTCTACGTTGGCGGGCGCCTTGCGAAAATAGAATCTGGCGGGAATACGGGCTGAGTCCCGTCTCCCCGTCCGGGCGGCCAGTGCACGTTAGCCGCGCACCTCATTCAAGTGAGTACGGACTCCCGTATCTCCCGCACTACATTCCATTCCTTTCACCTTCGGCGGGTGATGCCGCGCGTGCATTCGGCCAAGGCGCATAGCGGCCTGTGAAGTGTTTATTTAAATGTGCCCTGTGACAAGTTTCCGATATGAACGGCATGGGGACTCTGAGAACCAAGTTCAGGGGCGTGAAGAAAGAGCTGCTGGACAGACAGACGAGCCTACTAATTCAGTCCATGACCGTATGTCGTGTTTCGTAACAGTAAATTTATTTGAAATGTTTTTTTTTTTACTTAATTTGATTTAATGTCATATAGGGGTAATTCCTACCCATGTCAGAACACACATAGAAGTCTAGGAAGCCGTTAAAAACAGACTATCTTTACAACACATCTAAACTCTTACTGCGAGGGACATTGACATTTTACTCAGGTAACAGTCGAGTGACAAAGTGACTGAGTTCGAGTTGAGTGACTCGATGAAATTTGGCGGGTTATTTTTAAATGGTAAAAATAACCCGCCAAATTTCATCGAGTGTTTAAATTCTCTTGTGTGTGTTTTGTGTAAATTTGCTTTAAACGAAACCGCTTCGGCGTTGTTTGATAAATATGCTGCAAACGGATGTCTAGGTATACAACCGTTGCAGTGATTTACTAGTTAAATGCATCACGGATTTCGATCGGTCACCTGATTATACTCCAATGAAAATGGATGGGAACACATTAACGGTCTATTAAATAAATACGTAGGGCCGTTCAAACTGGGGCGCTTAATCGAAACCATCGGTGTAACGTAAGATCGATATGATTCTCACAGCACAATAACCTTGCTAGTTTGTGTGACATTGTAAATAGAGTGTCTGACCCACTGCCGGGCGCCGCTTCAAATCGGTCGTTTGCTCATGTGTCATGGTAACGAAAAACAACCCCGCGATGCATTGAGTTCATTTCGTCGGTGCCTATCCGTAGTGCATGACGGTAGTGGGTAGTGGAAAACTGTACTGTGGTTTATCCCGGTCAATGAAGTTGTTATATTATTATGAGTCATCGGCGAGTATACTTTTCTCATAATGTTCTGTTTTAAACTTTTATTAGTACTTAATTCTTTAATGTGCATTTTATAGGAGTAGAGCTTAATTGAAGTGTTTCTTAAGAACAGTTTTTTTTTCGATGAGGTATTTACGCAATTTTAGACTTCGCAATAACCTAACATCATAATATATAAATAATTAAGCATATAGCGGGTTCCCTTCCCCCCACCATATGAAGTTAAAGGTATAATTTTAATAATCAAATTTATTGTGTATGACTAACATTGATTTTGTGGTAAGAAATGTTATGGATTGAGATTGAGATTACTTTCAGATTTCGCTAGATTCATACTTGTATCTTACGAGATAACATTTAATTCATTGACGTTCTCACTACTTTTCCTTAAAATAAAACAATAAAACAATATTTGTAGCAACCGTTACAAACGTAGGAATTGAACTTGACAGTATATGGAAGTTGTACTTAGGCAAAAGCAAGAAAGATTATAGCTGGGTGAATCTCTGTGATCAAAGTCTTTAGAAGCATTTTGATACGAGATACATAAAAATGAAGAGAAGAGAAGACCGTACGGAAGTGACATCAGCACATTTATTCACTTACTTATCAAAAAATAAAAGAAATATGGAAGTTCAATATTCAAACATAAGTAGTAATCACAACATGTGTATGTGAATGAAAAATATTGCACTCTTATTGAGGATAAGGATTAATTTTTATTTTGTTCAATTCATGAGTAGAAAAATAAGTTGATTAGTAATCAATCAACGAAACAAATTTAAACAAATTTAATCGTCGTAATTAAATGTACACTGTGGCAGAGGGCAATCGAAAAAACTGCTTGTTGAATGGTTACGTCCGTTGTATCAAAGATCATTTTGCCGAATGGAAATTTTAATTGAATGAATTTTTGTCCTAAAGAATCACTATTATTTGCAGGTCGATGAACTGTACCTAGAAGTTCTCTATGAGATCTTGCACAATGTGGGAGGCTGCGACATGGGCTGCGAGGTGGGGCAGCAGACGATGCTGTCCTACGTTCAGGAGGCCTTCAAAATTGCCAACGAGAAGCACACTCAACTGCTGACGAAGGCTGAAGCCAAAGAGCCGCCGGAGCTGATGCTGAATGTGGAAGTGGTGGAGGCGAAGGACTTGGTACCTAAAGACCCGAGTGGACTCAGCGACCCCTTTGTCACAATCTATTTGATGTCCAACTCTTCGCAAAGATATAACACATCTGTGAAGTCGGGCACGCTCAACCCTTTATGGGAGGAGCATTTTTCACTGTAAGTTATGACAGATTTTAATATAATATGCATTAAAACTATTATTACATAGTGTGTCAAAAAAGAGGATATCAGTGAGTGGACATTGTGTCGCTATTTCAAAACAAATGCAGTATCTAAATTATGTGATCTACATTAATCACTCAAATACTATCACTAATTTGTGTAACACAAATTAGTCATAGTCTGAGCTAAATACAATGAAGGTGCAGAATTGACTTGATTTTTTTAATTAGAAATTATTCTGTCTCTTCTTTTATAGAGTGTCGTATAGTTAAATAGCTTTATTGATAAAAAATTGGAATCTGTGCATTATCTTGTAGATAACTAAGAGTTAGAGACAATAATAGCAGTAACATCAATAGTAAAGCTGTAAAACATTTATAGTACGATTTTACGATCGCATTAGGCTAAAATGTCCCGCTAATGCGGACCTTGCCAGTGTGAGATTTGGTTCTGTTACTATTTACAACTTGTATGTTTACAGGCCAATGCCGGGAAACCTACACGAAGACTCGTTAATATTAGAAGTATGGTAAGTAAAATAGACAAAAGAGCTACCTAAGTGCTAAGACATCGTGATCTCACTCTTTATTTCCTTAGGTCTGTCTGCTCCATTTGAATAAATAAATGATTAAGTTATTGATTGACACAAATATAATGAAGGTTAAAAATAATACTTTTTTTATGGAAAACCTGACACCTGACTTGGAAATTGATAAAAATAATTGAAAAAGATAAAAAATTTATCTTAGTATGTCTTACATCGTTGTGACTAATTAAAATCGGAATTACAGGGATTTTGATCCGGCCGAGACAGTAAAGGAGAAAATGACGAAAATATTTGAAGTCAAAGGCGTCAAAGGTCTCCGCAAATTGATGAAGGAAATCGCAATCACTGCCTCTACCGGGAAGCACGACAATGAACTAATCGGGACTTCTAACATACCACTAAAAGTGAGCGAATTTTTTCTTTCATGTAAATCTTTCTAGCAAGTTTTTAGTTTGCTCATAACCTTCAAATTGACATGTTGAATTTTGATGACACCGTGGTGAAGTTGCCAAGGTATTGGCTTCGTCGAGGGTCGTGGGATGTCGATTTCCACATGAAACAACTATTTGTGTGACCCACAGATAGTTGTTTCGCATCTGAGTTTTTGTCCGCGTGGAATTTATATTTGTAAGACGTCCTTACAACACAGAATAATGGTATCCTACAGTAAGAGCAACGTTTTTTAAAAAGAATAAGTAAAAGAATTAAATTTATTACAGCTTTCATTTGTCATCCATACTGACTATTATTTTAGCCGACTTAAAAAAAGTTATCCTATAAGAACCGGTAGTAGTATTTTGATAATCTATGTTGAATATATATTGTTGTTAGAGATTTTAATTTTTACCTGTTATATTATTACCTCGTAATAACAGGAGTGAAATATTTAGCGATTTTTCTAGAACAATTTTTTGTCAATCTGCACTCAAGATAAAATTTTTATTTGAGTTACAAGATAAACTGCGTTTTCTGGTTAACGTGACCAGACTCCACCCCACTGAGCTAAGCTTACAGAATTTATCTATTAAACTCACATTTCTGTTTTATTGATATTGTATATATGTATTGTATATGTGTATTGTATACAGGATGATTTTTTGACTAAGTTAGATACTTTGATACAATGTTAATGGAGCATAATTCAAAAGGGATATTAATATTTTATTTTGACGAGAAATAACCAGAAAAATATCAATTCAAACACTGTTTGTTTAACCCGTTAAGAGTGGTCACCCTATTGATAAGCGGTGTAGTAATTATGCGTTCAGCGAACAGTTTTAGCCCTCGTAAATATCCTATTGTGTTGATACGGTAAGGCAGTTAATTTCTAATAGGGTGTCCATAATGTTTGAAAAAATTAAAAATAATCTTTGGAAAAAAATGAGGTTTCTAGTACGTACCAGGTTCAGATTTAGAATCAAATTCTGCATATGCTCTGTTAATATGTCCGTCGTCTATAAAATCATCCTGTATACTTGCAATTGATTCGTACGATATGTCCGCAGTCGATACCGGCGGGCGGTATGACGATGTGGTTCAACCTGAGCAAGAAGAGCAAGCTGCGGCGGCAGGGCGTCGTGAAGCTGCGACTAAACTTCTCCTCCGAGAAGAACTCGCAGGTCGCTGCTCAGGAGCACCGGCATCTGTTGAGGATACTGCTCCTACACGAACTCGAGAGCTCTAAGGCACGTTACACACGCTATTTAAAGAACCGTACACGCGATGTAACTAGAGAACAGAAGCGTAATATTTGTCAGTAAGAATGATTATAAGATTCTCTCTTGATAATGTTGTGTAGATGCAGTGATAGTTTTGTATATAAAAACTTTGTAAAAGCTGTACAGTTATCCATGTTATATTGCGCAATAATGTACATAAAGTAGGCATTTTGTTGACTTAAAGACATCGATCGTCTCACTTTTATTGGCTTCAATGTTACCTTGCATTAGTATTGTAAAAAGATCTTCTCTTTGATGAGATGTGATAGCTCAGTGTCCGGGCGCGCGCCTTTAATTATATTTACTCGAGCAACCCGAGTTCGATCCCCGGTGCCATCACCAATGAAATTGCTACTTTTAAGTGCTGAATGACGTGTTCGGCGGTGAAGGAAAACATCGTGAGGAAACTTGCATATTTTCGAAATAATAAAAAAAACATTGCGAAGATATGTGAAGTCGCCAAAGGTGGGGTCGCGTGATGGACTATGTCCTGATATTCTCTTTACAGAGGAGGCCTTTGCCCAGCAGTGGGGCATTTATAGGCTGTTACTTTACTTCTCTTTGAACTAACGGAGTATAAATCGATTTCAGGTCGCACCATTTTGGTGGTGCGGCAACTTCAGCGCACCGGCGGAAGCGATCCTCACCCAGCACGCGGCCCAAAGCGGCTTAAGCCAGACCGACAATTGGCTGGCGCAGTGGTCGGTCTTCTGCGCAGTCACGGCCGACCACCCTCTCAGCTTTGCGCTCTTCAATCAGCTGCTGGAAAAGATCGCAAAGCCCCTACAATCCGGTAACTGGTCTTTTTTTTTTACACGTGAAACAGTGGAAAACGAGCCGGCGGTTCACCTGATGTTAAATGATAACTGCCCATGGACATTTGCAACACCTTTAGTTATTAATTACCGACTATTAAGAACTTAAAATTTGTGAAAGCATATTAGAAGAATAACAATCTTTCTACGCTTAATTTTATGATTCGGTTTTCTTTCTGCTCATAATTTTATGATTCGTATTTATTAGTAGTGGCATAAGGGTTCTGGACGTGGTCCTTCGATCGCAGATTCGAGTTCCAGTGGTGGGTGAGCGCCAATGCTTTCTCTTTTCCAGATTTTATTTCGTGTTAATATCATCCTTTAATGTTTATGGCTGACGCACGACGACAAAGTGCTAGATCAAGAAGGGGTTACCTTCTTGATCTAGCACTTGTTGCTCCTCTTCCACTTTTTAATTATTGTATCTCCAGGATTGGTCAACGAGGAGGACGTGAAGCTGTTCTGGGAGGGCGCGAAGAAACTGCTGCCGACATGCTACAGCCACATCAGGAAACTGCGCAAGAAGACCGCCGGCGACAAAACGGTGATGAAGACCCTGCGGGAGGTGCTGAAGATACTGTACCGTTTATCGGCGCTGGACGTCCCGGAGTCTGTGGACCTGTTCCCGGTGAGCCTGTACGGCTGGCTGAGGGAGAACGATGACGGCTGCAAGCTGAGCATACACGAGGTGCTGAACCAGGCGGCGGTGCAAGGCGCCTCCGACTGGTTCGTGCACATACTGGACAACAACGAGTGCAAGGACCGCACCGAGGACTCGAGGCTGCAGCACCTGATCAGGGTGATACAGCTCGTGCGCTCCGACCTGCAGCGGGCCGTGGAGTACTTCGACAGGGTTTTCGTCGAGTGAGTAGATTTGTGTAGACTAGGATTTGAAATTCGAAAAACCAGAGTGATAGCTAATATTTGCGAAAAAGCTGATGTATTTTATTTTATGTGAAAATGTAGCGAGCGAGCTGGCGTTTCGCCTGATATTACGTAATAACCGCCCTCCATGGTCGTGGTACGTCCAGTTCCGTCTGGGGAAGTGTCACGACCTCACAGAACATGCGTGAAGTCGATGTGTTTCGTTTTGTCTGGTGAGTGAGGTAACCGTGGCCCACTTTACTGAAATGCACGGGTGGCGGTTATCAATTACATTAGTTGAATCTCCAGCTCGCCTACTACCGTCTTCCTACATAAAGAAGAGGGAATCTCTTTTCAGGGTCATGAGTTTCCCCTACTCGAAAGTGCTGTACGGGGTGTACGAAAGCAAGATAGCGTCACTAGTTGAGCCGGAGGTGATCCAAGTGTGCAAGAGCCTGAAGCGGCTGCAGTACGACGAGGGCTCCACCAACAGCGTGTATTTGGCGGGCGGGCTGAACGGGGAGACGGGCCTCGGCGCCCCGAGGGTGGACCACGAGCCCCTGGCGATGGGCACCACGCTCTTCGAGCTGTACCTGGCGCTGCAGAGGTTCCTCGCGTGAGTACCGACCGTTGCCTATCAGCTTCTTTCTCCTTTCTTAAGAGCGGCCGGCGCAACACGTGAAACGATGCAAATGGCGTCGTTTGGGTTTTTTACTATCGCCAACAACGAGCTTTAGCTAAAAATTATATTTTTACACACAAATTACACACAAAATAAATATTGAAACTCAACTGAGTCCGGGGTTTAGTTCCGAGGATTCACTGGATGCGTATATAAACTTAGCAACAGATATAAAATCTTTATATATATAATTCTTCTGTACGTGTGTATGTCACTGAAGTCCTCCTAAACGGCTTGACCGATTTTAATGAAATTTTATGTGTGCCTTCAGGTCGATTCAAGGATGGTTTAGATTCACAAATCGGGATTTTTTTTGATTTTTTTATTTATAAGTTGTTTTCGGATTTCAGTCGTATTTACAAGAAGAAATCTGTCGGGTGCGCTAGTATACATATAAAATTAGATGTAACTTTTCCAGTCTCGGGCAAGGTCTGAACGAGACCGAATGGAGTTCATACGCGATTTCAAAGTTCCACTCGTGGTTCTACGGCGGCGTGGCCCAGTGGCTGGACATCGCTGCGTACAAGGCGCTCACTCGCATCGAGAAGGCCGTGGACCTGGACAACCTGGTGCCGGTGGACGCCAACGTCAAGTACAGCAGCTCCGGCGTGGACACGCTCGCTATATTCTACCAGATCAAGATATTCTGGCAGCAGCTCGCCTGGCCAGACGTCGAGGGATGCTACACGTTCGTCGCCAAGATCGTCGATGTGAGTGCTTTTCCTTTAAATTGTGATTATTTGTAGGTAAATGAACGAAAACTAACGGCGCTGCTTCGTTCTTGAATGCAGAGCACTAAAAATAAAAGTGAATCCTAAAATTTACCTAACCTTACCTTACCGTATATTTGCTGCATAGCTTAGGTGGTGGTGTCGCGTTGATGCACGGAAGAATTGCTGAGCTCGTTAAATTTAAACCCTGTAACCCCCACGGTAAATTTTTACATATAATTAGAATAAAAAATAGTTTGTGTGTTATGCACAAGTGAACATATTCTAGCTCCGTTATAGCACTGTGAGGGTAGTGAATTCCAGTATGCGGACATAAAAATGCTAAACTATGTTTTTTACCAAACGTGAAACTACTGAATATTGAAATGTATAGGAAAAAGTACGAAAAGTTTCTCGCCGCTGTGGAAATCGAACCCACGTCTTCGGGATTCGCGCCGAGACGCTTTATCTACGAAGCTAAACGGTTGGCGCTTGATGTCAAGTGATAACCGCCGTCCATGGACATATACAACACATGTAGGGTTGCGGATGCGTTGCCACCTTTTAATAAAGTGGGATAAAGTTACGGTCGCTCCCATAGGACATCTGCCGCTGCTGCGTGTTCTACTCGGACAAGATGGCGGGCCGCGTCGACAACGTGGGCACGGTGAGCACCGTTTACGAGGAGCGCTTCGAGGTGACCACGGAGTGGTGCGTCGCCATCAACAACATCGACTACGTGCGCCAGAGCCTGCAGCCGTTCGTGCAGGAGCTGGACATGGACGAGATCATCCGGCGGATGTGCGAGGCCAGGTCGCCGCTGGAGGCGCAGAGGTCAGTAAACCGACAGCCTATACATGTCCCGATGCTGGGCAAAGGCCTCCTCTGTGCAGTGGGTATCGGGGCATAGTCCACCTCGCGGCCCTGCTGCGGATTGGCGGACTTCATATATCTTGGAAATATTTGATGTTATTTACAAAATATGTAGGTTTCCTCACGATGATTACCTTCAGCGCTGAGCACGGGATAAACATTAGATGGCACCAAGTGTTGCTAAAAAAGGATTAAGGGTTCTATTCACTTGAGTCAACTATTACGAAGTCTCACCAGGGGGGAGGAGTTTATTTAAGGCTTACTCAACTTTATTGTATACTTAAGCATTCTCTCCCATGAAACATGATAATATGTTTTATATGAAAGGTGTTAAGTCTATGCAATCGCAACTCATGATTAAGCTTGTGTAATATTAAAAATGTTTCAGATGCAAGGAGACTCTTCAAAATGTTATGGCAAACGCGATTGACACAGTAAAAAACAAAATTGTGGATCTGTTAGAAGTTATGGTGAAAAAGGTTAGTAATTTTTATTTTGTCATTCTCAATTTCTCAGTTCCATTGATTTACATATTTAACAGAAAAGAAGGTATTAAACTTCAAAAAAATTTCATTCACAAACGTTACAGATTCTCATATCTTATTCCTAGCGGTTACTTAGTTATGTTTCAAATTAAATATAATATTGTGATGAGAATATACTCTAATAATAACTCGAGGATGTTATTTCCAGATGATGCCCTCTATCACCCGTTTCTTGATAGAAGGGGCGGAGTTGCTGCACCAAGACTGTTCCAGCATGGATCGGGTCATGCGCTACTTAGAAGCCAATCTTGACACCCTTTACCAGCATCTAAACAACGAGAACTTCTCTAGAACGTTAGACATAGTCTGGGAGCAATTAGGAGAGGTCTTATACGAATTGATTCAGGCCAATTTAGAGGTGCGTTCAATTTGCAATATATTTTAGAGAATCTTAAATCATTGAACTAATAAGACATACTTATATCGATTTATCACCATTAATATATTGTTTTTTTTTTATTAATTTGTTTACAAATAATTAGGCCCAGTGAAAAATTTTCAATCATCAAGAATTTAATCGCGTTTTTATTTCTGGAGAAGGATAATTCTATAGTATTTTGACATGGAACATACTTGTATTATCTTTGAAACATCTGCCTGAAAATGGATCACTTAATTGTTGTTATGTGAATCAATTACGATTTAAGGCTAATAATATATATAACTTTCCATTTAAAGACAGTTAACACTTTTTTATTATTTGCTAATTAACTTTTTCTATTCCGCTGAGGAGTTTACTATATAATATAAACATAATGAATCAAGAAAGTTTATCCATTGTGTATAACAGAATTTTGTAATTTCACTGGGCCTACATACCGTACTAACTTTGGACTAACGACATGATGTTTTCCTTTTCAATTTTGTAGAAACAGAAAGTAGACATTGCCACCCGTATCCGCTTGATTAGGCGTAGACATTTCGGCAAAAACAGAGTATCCCCCTACGTTGTACTGTTCCGGGTAAATAACGTTGCATTTACGATGCACGCTGATCGAGCAGTAGAGCACAACGTTTATTTGCTGTTGTTTCATTTACATTATATGTTACTTACTGTTCGTTTGTTGTTTTAATAGCACCGAAGGGCAAAGATAACTCGCTATATCGACCCGAGGCGCTTGAACAAATCGGCAGCCGCACAGTTGGACGCGGTAATCATACATTATAAACAGCACCTGTATATGTTCTATATAGATGTTGCCCGTGTTGTTTTTGTTATGTTCTACCCGTGACAGCTGGAATGAGCGAACGCCGAGTGGTTTTGTAGGTTATAAATAAAAAATTGATTAAAAAAAAATAAGTTTCAAGTAAGTGATATCAAACATCCGAAAGATCCAATAAAATAAAGTTTCAAGTAAGTGATATCAAACCTCCAATAGATCCTGCATGTGTTAGAGATATAGTAAATTGAAGCACGCACTGGAAGCGGGATGCGGTTGCACTGTTAATTGTATATAATTACTTTGTGATTATTTTTAAAGGAATCATTACTGCAAGGATGTTACTTGTTTGTATACTAAGCCACTTGAATCGAAACAAATTTAAATCTTCATTTAGTGGTAAAAAAATTATTAGTAACCTTTTGCGACATTTGAGAATGTAATACAGCTGTCACATCATTTGCTGATATGAATAGAAATACCTAGTTATGTGTTTGTTGTGTTTTTAGCTCGTTCTGAATTTTGTTGTCATATATTTGTATACTTGTTTGCTTAGTATACCTTATATGTTTTGAAAGCCAGCCTCTATAATACTTCTATATGTTCTTGTTCCTGCTTTGTATTCAAAACTTCCTTGTTAAATTTTGTGTTTATACATAGTAATTACAATATAAGTTTTGAAAAATTATTCAGTTTTAGAAATTTTAATGCGGATGTGTCTAGTAGTCGAAAAGTGGCATGCCTCTTGCATGACTTAATTGAAACATTACTTATCCATTGACATTCAAGGATTGCACGCTATGAATAGTGATTTTGGTACCTCGTATTATTGGATGGTATATCGGCGAAGCTTACAATACGAAATAAATATCAATCACTTAGAGTTTTAAAGCGCTCACAGTCAAACGGTTTGAGTCATTGATAGTTTAATTGCGGGTGATCACTAGAAAACAGACCCGGGAGGCTTTCTAGTACATGCTCGTTCGGGTCCTTACAGAAGCGCCGTCCGCCGTCGTTCTTCTCGAACCTCCACGAGTGCCTGAAGATAATGGTGCGTTCCTTCCGCCAAGACAACAAAGAGGTCTACACGTCGGAGACGCTGAAGCGAGTGGAGTACTTGCTGAAGATCCACGGCATGGAGACCAGGGAGCTGATCCACCAGTACCACCTGGAGAGGTGGCAGGAGCAGCAGACGATAAGCGAGCCCAAGATGGGCGTGCTAACGGTGCGCGCGCAGTTCATTGACGACAACCTGAAAATCGAAATCATGAACGCGAGGAATCTCACGCCGACGGACTCGAACGGTGAGTTCGACGTTTACGGAACGATAATCCTTAATGCAGCTCGAAGTTGGGAGTTGGGCGAAATCTTAACGTAAGGAAAAGGCGTTATGCCCATTGGTGGCTTAGTGACTTGTTCGCTCGTCCCATTTTAAGTCACGCTCGGTAATATTAATTGATTAGAATTTTGTTCTCACACTTTAATTTCTACGTGATAGCTCAGTGTCCGGGCGCTTGCCTTTAATTGAATTTACTCGAGTAACCTGAGTTCGATCCCCGGTGCCAGCACTAATGAAATTGTTAATTTTAAGTGCTGACTTATCACGTGCTCGGCGGTGAAGGAAAACGTCGTGAGGAAACCTCCATATTTTCGAAATAATAAAAAAAAATGTTTCGAAAAATATGTGAAGTCCGCCAATCCGCAGTGGGGTAGCGTGGTGGACTATGCCCTGATAACGTCTTTACAAAGAAGGCCGTTGCCCAGCAGTGGGCCATTTATAGGCTGTTATTTTACTTTACTAATTTATTATTTTCTTATTCTTCATTAAAATTCTCTCAAATGCTGTTAATAAATAATTTCCCTGTGCAGTAAGCACTAAAATACAGCGAAAGGAACTTCGTTCAACCACACACACAGGTGAAAGTATTCACCTGATGTCAAGTGATTCCCTCAACCCTCGGGGTCCAGAGCTGTCTCTGAACGTTCCAAAAAGTGGAACCCGGCCAACTCACTAGACGAAACGTAATCGTAAAATAAAGTTATTTTAGCCTAAGTAGACTGATCTTCAATGAGGGTATGGTACTCTCGGGTGACAGTAGAAGCTGATTTTTCAACCGACTTAAAAAAGGAGGAGGTTTTCAATTCAGTTTTTTTGTTTGTTATCTTAATACTGCGTCATTTATGAACCGCTTTCAAAAATGGTTTTCGCATTGGTTAAGCTCACGTGTGGTCCCATTGATTTCATTACTATTCGACCTTGAACTCCAGAGATACATAAGGAAATTCTTTAAAATCATTTAGAAAATGCATACTGTGAGAGATGTTTGACGTCGGTTTTTTTATCATTTTGGCAATTTCAAAATTTAACTACAAGTGTTAATTATAACTGGTTTCTTCCGTTCTTTAAAAATCTCTAGTAATACTTTTTTTGCAGGTTTCTGTGATTCATATGTTCGCGTAGCGTTGCTGCCGGAAGATTTATTCACCAACGTGGTCAAGCCCAAAACACAAACACACAACAAGAATCTCTTCCCCTTATACGATGAAATGTTTCTAATGTGAGTTGCACAAATCTTTACTTAGAAAAATTGAAACTGTAATGTATAAACAGTTTACGCCAATTCTCAGAATTAAAATTTGTAGAGAAATGGGCGAAAAGTTTTTCTATTCATTTTAAGTGCAGGGATTAGGATTATTATTAGCAAAACTTTATATAAAATTTATATTCTCAGGTCGATTATGATTCGAAAAAATGTTTTTGCAATTAATGTAATGATGTAATTAAAAATGATGTAATAAATTTTCTAAGAATATTTAATTAGGCAAAAGACATTGATCATGGTTGATAATTGAATAACATTTTAAATATTGAGGTTCTTCAATGGTGTAGTCAAATCTCAATTCAACTAATTATTCCGCAATCTGTGTATCATTATTATACTGTGCATCATTATTATCTGTGTAGCATAAACCAGGGCTAATTCAAACTCTACTTACGTCTAGCTTACAGTTCTAAAAATATAGTTTTATTAACACTTTATACATGACCTTAACCGCTTCAAAGCTTCGAAACGTTGAGAGCAAAAATTATAATTGTTTTTATGTGAGGAGGTGGCAAGCGAGCTTGCGGTTCACCTGATGTTAAGTGATAACAGTTGCCCATGGACATTTGCAACACCTGTAGGGTTGCACATGCGTTTAATAAAGTGGGCCCCGGCAATCTCACCCACCAGACGAAAAAGTATGACACTGCCACCTCACGCGGGTCTTCTATGAAGTTGTGGTACTTCCCCGGACGGACCTGCCCATTCGTGCAACAGCGAACTGCTGCGTGGCCTTACCACAGGAAGAATTAAAAACCGGTCCAGTGCGAGTTGGACTCGCGCACGAAGGGTTCCGTACCATTACCCATCATGGCTCAGTTTTTAGTAATTGTTGCTATAACGGCAACAGAAATACATCATCTGTGAAATGACAGACAGACAGGTAGAAAGTAGTCTTAGTAATATTGTCCCGTTTGCACCCTTTGGGTACGGAGCCCTACAAATAAACAAGACAAATCACCCGAAAAAGTATCATTCAGTAACGCGTGATCGCGTGAGTAGAAAAAGCCATCACTGAAACACATGGTACCGAACACCGCCGCCTCGATCACAGACCGCTGACGGCAGAGCAGCGGCGCGCCCCCGACGGGCTTCTGCACCTGGTCGTGAAGGACAAGGACATGCTCAGCATCAGCAACACGTTCGTGGGCGAGGCGTACCTGCACTTCAGCGAGGTGCCCGCCACCCCGGCGCCCATCACCAGCCTGCCGCAGCAGCACTTGCCGCTCAGCAGGCCCGTGGACTTCGGTCAGTTTCCAACTCGTTCACGGGGCCCGACATGGGTCATTTGTTATGACCGATTTTTTTTCATATTCTATGTATGCATTTATTTATCGGTGTATGTATTATATTAGGACCTTACATAAGACATATATTTTAATATAGCGTGTCGTTACCATCGCGACAATAAATGAACACACGTCTAACGCTACTTGCCAATAATCATAAAAAAATATGAACGTTAAACAAAATCCATAATAAAAAAAATATTTTTCAAACAAACTAATTAAGTAAAAAAGAAACAAAATTTGTAACATAGTATATAACTCGCGCCACAGCGTCGCATTACAAGCCTTACCTTCTAACACTATGTTTTGTCTCTTTCAAATTCATTCAACCCATTCATATGCTTTGTGACCTTTACAACAATACAATTACTAATACAATTTTAAAAAGTTATCCTCTATATGTGTGTTCATTTATTGTCGCGGTGGTAACGACACGCTGTATATATATATATTTATATATCCATCCGCTATTTTGTAGGTAGTTAATTGATTCCATTCCTCAAAAATTTGTGGGAGCGAGAATCAAAGAAAAATGAAGTGGCGTGAAAACAAATGAATCACTAAAATCGTGACACAAATAAACAACCCTGAATTTGGAATTCATATTTTTTTGAAAGTAGGCGCTTGGTCAGAGCCGTTGAGTTATTGAATAGGCTTTGACTGTGTGTGTGCATCGCCCCTTATCATTAGCCGACATTGTTCACAACAGCGAAGACTGTTGCGTGGCCCTACCACAGTAAAGCCACAGTGACAGGTCGTGATAAAACTATCGTTATAAATATGCTTAAGGCATAACAAGAGATGTGTGCTCATTACAATTTTCGATTTTCCAGATGGCGACGCAATTAAAGCCCTGGAGTCGAGACAAGGCGATAAACAAGCGAGAGAGTTCTTAAAGAAACAGAGACAGAAAATTCCCAGCAAACAGTTCTTCTCGCTCGGTTAAGAAGTACATATTTATGTTAGCTAAATGAAATCCGCACACAACTCTAACGGTGCTAAAACCTTTGTCATGAATCATATTTTATAATAATAAATAATTTATTGATCTTTGCCGTTCCAACACGGACAGTAAACTTCCTCTGGAGAAATCTATCCGTTGTTTACAGCATGTATACTGTAAGGATTATAACGTATCAATTTTAAACTAAGTGTTATTGTATTAAGTGAGATCGTTATATGGAGTTTAAAGCAATAAAAGGTGTTTTTACCAGCAATAATGAAGCTAAATGAATCTAGTATATCATAATCTAGTAGACTGATGTGTGCATGATGTTATTGAATCGTAAGCTTTTGATACGAGAGGTTTATAAATTATTTTGATAACCTGTGGTTCCTAATCTTATCGTGCTATTTTGTAGAGCTGTCCAGTGTATTTTCACCGAATATGAAACTCGCTGAGAAATATGAAGTTATTTAAAATGGCGGTTCAGTATAACTGTCAATCAATATTTTATTTGTAACAAAAAGTAATTTGTTACGAAGAAAAATAAAAGAAAAGTTTTTAAGTTGAATATGAATTGCATCACACTGTTCACGAACATTTTAGAATGTGAATAAAGATGTATTTATTAAAATCACATCAATATCATATCATGTGTCTTGATAAACAGATTGAGCTTTCTTAAGTCTCATTTTCTTCCAATGTACATGTTATATACACGAGTTTGTAGTTGTGTGGGAATATGTTGTTTTTAATTAGTAATAAATTGTATACAAGTAAATTTGTTTGCAATAAAAATGCTGATGTGTGCGAAGCCGCTGTTTGTTCAAAATCTTAGATCTAGTTGTCAAATAGCTATGTTCTGTGATAGTGAGAAGTGCCTTAAGATTTTTTTTATTTCGTACTTGTAATAAAATATTTATTTAATTAGGCATGCGAAGGAGAATGCGCAAATGTTTCTTTTGTTCTACAGGATTTATTTTGTATTTATTCAGATGTTTTGTTGAGAATACCTACTCCAGAAGAGTCTGTTTTTTTCACAAAGGATCTATTTATGTATTTTTTTTATCTAAATAAAAACGTAAGGTACGTAAAGCAGCTTGTGTGTTCGTTTTATTTATAGCTGTCGTATCATCATTATCGTCAACCCGTATCAGCCCACTGCTGGCCATAGGCCTCTTCCCTCTTGCGTCATTTATCTCCTATCTTGAGGCGATCGCATCCACGTTTTTCCTGCGATTGTTATGATATCGTCGACCCATCGGGCAGGTGGTCTGCCGATGCCACGCCATCCATTCGTTTAAGGTTTTACTCCACCTGCTATTACCTTATGGCACCTAGCAATGTGCCCTGCCCATCTATACAGATAAATAAAATTGGATTGTCTCTGTGTAATATTAAAATAATCGCTTTTTACTAAATGCACATGGATGTATACACGGTACATATACCAAAATAACATTTTTTTCAATTTTTGTCTGTTTGTTCCGGCTAATCTCTGAAACGGCTGGACCGATTTTGACGGGACTTTCACTGGCAGATAGCTGATGTAATAAGGAGTAACTTAGGTTTGCTTTTATTTTAGAAATTTAATTTATTTTAAATTCCACGCGGACGAAGTCGCGGGCACAGCTAGTTATATCTATAATCAGTGTGTTCTCCGCGCCATGCCCTATGGTTCTGAGACATGGAAACTCAAAAAAGATACAGTGCACAGAATGCGAGTCGCGAAATGAGCTACGTTTCATGCTGGGCATTGGGTTAAGAGATCGCTACCGCAACAGCGAAATCCGTCGTAGGACGAAGTTCTGCGGATTGGATAAACGGACAATGCGGCGCAAATGGCGTTGGGTAGGGCGCATTGCTAGACATGGTTGGTGTTTATAAAATTTCACTGTATTAAAATATATATTATATTGTTCCAAATGTAAATGCATAACATCACATCGTTTTTTTTTTGAGATATTTAAACGTATATAATAATAAAATTTCATAAAAGTACGATTAAGTGCAAACATAGTCAAACATTTTGTAAAAGCTATCCTTATGGCAAAGTAAAAGAATACGTTGAGGACAAGGATGTGTGGTAACGATAGTTATGCAAGTCTCCCCTGTCTGATGCTGATTTTATACTTTATTTGTCATTAAAAGAGAAACAAAAGAACAAGACCGCAGAGTTTCTTGCTGGTTCTTCTCTAGACAGGTCTTATTAGTACACTGGTTGTAGTTTTTTTTGACGTTCAATAAGAGTTAAGCTCATACCAAGCCTACGTATATTGAATAAAGAAATTTTGACTTTGACGTTAATTAAACCGCTTGCCCATTCATCATCTTTTCAAAATAAAATAAAAGGTTAAAAATAATTTTTATAATATGAACCATCATAAAATGACTTAAGTTAACGAGTGCAGTAATAAACAAGTGGCAACACGTGACAAGCGTGTTAGAATTTTTGTAAAACATATTAATAATCCACATTTGTACAATTTTTTAAATAAACCGTGCTTGACACGTAGGCGTATGTAGAGCGCATAAAATAGAACATATATCACATAAAGCACTTGCAATAGTATTTTTTTAATTTTTCGGTTTCCTTCAAACGTGCTGATTTCATCGTAGTGTTTTCGAAAGTGAAATTAATTTAATGGGTGCCAGAGTCAATATTTGAACTCTAGTTATTCCAGTACAGCGAATTGCAAAACTTTACAAAACACGCTCTTAATAGTCCAACCGCACGAGAGACTAGGTTTGAAGTGCACAGCGTAGCTATTCAAACCAGAAACACTGCAGGGATTTATAAGCAACTCTTTCAGTTGGTTGCTTGTTGCGTTCCGCGCTTGTTGAAATTATTTTTCGTAATAAATAGCTGGTAAATACTTTATTTTATGTGCAAGTAGGTATACTCGTAAACCATGCAAGTTTAATGTAGCATTTAATGTTTCCACATGTGCTTCGTAACATGTGGGATTTAGCTGGACGAGATGAAACACTTGTTTCTAAATTGTATCTAAGAATTCTGAAAGCGAAATTCCGTCGTGTTATTTAAAGAACTGCTTTAGTTAACTTTATAATTTAAGAGTTGACAGATTACCAAAGATATTGTATTTATAAACTTTCATACAATTTTTTTTCTTTCAAACCTAATTCGTAATAAACGTAATTCTAATTTCGAAGGATTCTATTAATATGAAGAGTACCTGGAGGACCGAACTTTGCTCGTTTTTTTTGGTAATTCTTGTATTTTGGAAATTAAAAAAATAAAATAAAGAAAGCAATGGAATGCAACGGAAAGATCTGGTATAAAAAAAAGTGTGTAAATGATCGTGACACGAACCGCGGCCATCAGTTTCGGGGCCGCCCGATTACGGACCGAGCTATTATAACATTTTTTTTGCGGCGAAATTTACCGTCATATTCGAATGATATTTTTAGATATATATAAAGAAGAATCCATATGCAAGAATTGCTCGTTTAAAGGTATTAGATATAGTTAAAATATCTCATAAAACATAGGAGAATAATGATTGATAATCGTGTGGAGTGTCCCCGTCGTAAGTAATTTATGGGCACCCAATCCAGTATCTAGAGTTCTTTCGAGTGTAGTACTCAGTCACTACGCGACTCACGTCAACGGTACTTGCATATAGTTGTTTATGGCAAATTAATTACACGAGGCGCCAGTGGCAGACGGGAGTTTTCAAAGTAACGATATTATTGCTTCATGCATATAAAGTAATAACAAATGCTAGGGTTTACGCAGATTCTCAATGTGTCCACGGTTCGATACGTTACGTTATTTTAGTTGGAAATATATTCAAGCAGGATACTAGGCACTAAACAAATCCAAAAAAATGCCTATCGCAATACACCAATCACTAATGACGTAGAATACTGGCCTGCTAGTTTATTTTATATTTTGATGAAATATTATGCTAGAACTACCAAATATGCGACAGTGTAACAATGGTTTAACATCTTTATCATTGCTTTGTTTAATATTTAATTAAACAAAGCAACGATAAAGATTCTTACAGTAATTTGTAACGTGGAAATAACCTTTAGATTCAGTGGTTTAAAAAATCGGTAAGGAATAACAAGCCAGTTCTTACAGCCCTATGGACGTACGGCTGTATTAACGTTGTTAAATGGCGATCAATCAATATGGTAGTAAACAAGAAAAACGAGTTTAATTACACTGAGTGCATCAAAGACCCCTTTGATTATTCTAGTGCAAGTTTGTTTTTTTACAAAAAGGTTTTATTTCTGCTATTTTTATAACGCTCTTTTACAACGTTCAAGGCAGGCGTAAGTATTTTTAAAAATACTTGCCGTTTTAAGTAAAAAAAAAAAAGTAAAAAAAGCTATTAAATTAAACTGAATGTCTTTAAATTCACGATTGTCATTCAATTGGTTATAAAACAAATAAAATTTACCAATTTTATAGCCATCAAGAACAAACACTATTCAGTAGGTATAAAAAAAGGAATGAAGGCAATATGATCAAAAGGTAATAAAGTCAGAGAATTCAATCTAAACGAATTCACTTTAGAATAAACTTTAGAAACAAACAAGATGCGTATACAACAAACAAACGTCTAACAAACGTCGCAAATCGAGGGTTTCATAAATTTCGCCATATTTCAGTTCACTCGGATGAGTAATGTAATCCCGCGGCTTTTCCTTCTATCTTAGTTGGTAGATGGTACGGATTAAGTTACCAGGCGTAACGCTTTTGATCTTATTGGAGCAATTTATTTGTACAATACAGTGGATTTAAAACAAATACGTTGAAAAGTTTTACATTAACAATTAACGTTTTTTAAACGTAGAAGCAGTATTACAATAAAGAAAATTAGCGATTAGGAATTACTTATTAATTACCTTACGGAACAAATGACACACACTGTAAAATAAATAATAATACTCGCTGTTCGAAGCAGAATTAGGAATGCTAACAAAAAAAAATCGTACAACTACTTCACAATAACTACCTTCGTCACTGTCATACATTATGTCATTCAAAATTAGAAAAGCAATTAATTAAAACGTCACCATACAAAGAGCCGATCACATGTGACGGCCAGTGGTGGAAACATAGTATTGGATGAAACGGCGGCGGCACCTTTCATGTCTCTCCCTTCGCTTTGATCGCGCCGCTCCGACAATCCGCCCGACTACTTATCGGTTCAGATTTATTATGATTCGGAGGCTGTGGGCCGCGGGGAATCGCAGACTCTTACTATAGTGTACTTTAGTGTGCCATTCATACGAACTTTGTTATTTTATGTTCCAGTGTGTCTGAAAAAAATATAAACAAAACCGTGTATGAAGCTATTAAGTAGTAAAACTAAAACTATACGAGTTCTTTAATTTTTTTAATAAAAGTGATTGTGTAATTTCGTGAATGGCATGTACCGATAGGCATGTATTGTGTTTTAAACAAAGATAGTCATGGACAAAAGTGCAAACTAATTTTTCTGAACTCCTTATTCATTCGGCGCTTAAAATTTGCCGTTGGCTTTTCATCTTCAGAAAGTGAGGTAAAAAATACCGCTTTTAGTAAAAGCTATGTAATTACTCACAAAATTTTAATAAAAACATTTGCTTTACTCCTTTTTGCGCAAGAACAATAGCGGACAGTCATTTCTTGTTTGTTATTTTGTGTTATTAATGGACAGTTAAGATACAACTTTGAATGAATATATTTTTTCATACTAGCATCGATTACTTTATATTATAATATAGTCAATAAATTTGAAATTCTTTATATTGATTTCGGTTTGGTTTTCGGTAATATTAGTTTCAGTTCACATGATGTTAAATTATTACCTTCGGACCCGTCCATGGAAGATCTAAAACACTGACGGAGTTGCGGATGTTTAAGTTTAACCATTAAAAAAGTTGGCCACCTTTACCTTACGAACCAGATGGTAAGCGAACGTATAATACTTCCACTTCAGGCTGGGCTGTGGGACTTCCCCGGGAGAACCCACTGATTCGTTTTTTCTCATCTTTTTCTATCATCATCATCAGTCATTTTTTACTTTCTTTTTTTCATTCGTGCAACAGCCGAAGCTGCTGCGTCGCTCTCCAGTAGAGATGCATTCGCTACTGTAGAGCGTGTAACTTATATGACTTTAATAAAACTATAATCTGTTTAATGTTAATAACATCGTGCTCGACTGTACGCTTCTGTCGTCATTGACGGTCTATTTTTTGCCTCTATCAGCGCGGATCCCGGTAGCAGTTCAAAAGCTCCTGTAAAAAAAGTCCGTAATTTCTTGCTCCGACGCGAGATAACTGCTGATTTATTATTTTTAGGAGACCTCCGGATTCAGTTTTAAATTTTCGTGACACATTTAAAAAATTTCGAGCGCTCGAAATTGAATGGTATTTTCACGCTTTTCATTAATCGCTTATAATTCCATTTATTAATTACATTGATGAAACAAACTATAGATCTCAACTATAGTTGATGTTTACTACAGATTGTATGTTATTACCCAAAATGTTTAAAAACCAAAGTCAGAACGGTCAATTTACTCGTATATTCATATCTTTATAATGCATACTAATATTATAAATGCGAAAGTAACTCTGTCTGTCTGTCTCGCTACACAGATAGTCTAGAGCCTGAGAAAGGACATAGGCTATTTTTTAATTGGAAATTTTTTAAAGAAAGATATTTATTTAAGGGCTTCAACGCGAGCGAAGCCGCGGGCGAAAAGCTAGTAATTAATAATATTACTGCATTATAAAGTGATGCAGCAACACGTTGTGTAACGTATTATAAGAATTGTTAAGGAGCCCTTTTAACCATTTAATGGGAAACGATTATGGGCATATAAAAAGGACTTTTGTTGTGTTTATTGTTGTGGAGAATGACCTGTGTAATGGCCCCCTTGTATTAAATCGCCTTTAAAACGCCGTCCGACTAAATCATAATGGGATTGAATTGAAAGCCGTGAAGATTTTGAATGATTTTAATGGTTAATTCTTCCGCTATGTTTGTGAGCGGTCGCTGGCTGTTCTTTAGACGCCCTGATTTATTGTCCGGCCAGCTAGATGCTGTGCTGGGAGTCGATAAAATGAGATTTAATGAGCCCGGCCGTATCATATATCAGAGTCGGCATCATAAAGGTAGGTACCAACTGTCAAAGGGCTCATTGTGCCGGCGTGGCTTTTAGATGGCATTTTTACAGACAGGTACAGGCTTTGAAGTTGGCCCTTGCCGCCCGTCAATTATATTCTACTTAACTCAGTGCCCATTGCTCGGCACCTGGACAGCGGGCGAACTCTACGGCATAACGTAATTTAGCGGTGAGAATATTATTCATGAAATTATTCTCGTTAAACTCATGATGGTGATGGGGAAAAACTAATCATACGACAGCGGGTGTTGTTTGCATAAAATTTCGGAATAACAAATAACTTTATATAACTCAGAATACATCAAAACTAGAAATTAAACTCTATATTTAGATCGCAGCCAACGCTGTATAATCTAATTTTAGTTTAGGTGAAGATATAACCATATCAAAAACTTTTTCTCCTTATTAACATTTCGTTCAAGTTGTTGGAGTTGGTTCTCATTTACCACTTAATTAAAACATATCTCGACGAGTTGGAATTAATGATATGATTATTTCGAAAAAAGTTTGTGTCTGTTTTTATTTGCCTGTATTTTATTATAAAAACTATCTAATTATGCTTTTACAAGTTTCCAAATATTAATGTTATTAACTGGGTTATATGTTATTAATAATTTATATAACATATTAACAATGATATTATTATTTAACGAATTGTTTATGTAATTGAATTATTTAGTAAATTTGTAATTGTAAGATATTAAGTCAATTATTATATGCTTTGTACTTACAAATATAAAAGCAAATATTAAATATCGGCTTGAATACATTTTGCTTAAAAAATTAAATACATTTATATACAGGCGGTGCTAAAACAGCTTATATGACAAGTTTCTTAGAACCTGTTGTAATTGTATATTAAAATAGAATAAAATAATTCCTTCAGCTTTACTCCTAAAACTCTTTATTTAAATTATTCTATTAAATGGTCATTCACAAATATATTAACCTTAATTATTGAATTATGTAAATGTATATCAATATATATTATAATTCAAAAGCAAGTTCTATGTTCTAGGGAAGTATTGATTTTTTTATCCAACCATTAAGTTGAAAATAAAAAAAAGTTTGAAAAACCTTTAATTTTGGTTCGTCTTAAGTAGCTTTACTTCGGCTTGTCATAAAACTAACGCGAATATGTAAGAACTTACGAACTACACCAATTTGAAACGGCTATCGTTCCTGGCACTCAGACCGCAAGAGTTGCTAAATAGTTAGAACATTAACGTAAATTTGGAGTGTGAACGACGCCACAGATCGTTACACGGCGCGGCGTGGCCTCCGCTCTGAAACGTACGCGAAAATTGTGTGTTGCGTTGTGTGGTGCAAAATATGTATATAATAGAGGAACGCTGGCACATTGCTAATCCGATGGCTCCCTGGGGATGTTGACAAGTGGGAGGGGGGTGCTTCGATGGCGCCCGCGCAGCTCGCGTGGCACTACCGCCCGAGTCACGCGCACCGTAATGCTTGCATAATAATAATGACGGATGCCGATCGCGCGGCGGCACCTTTGATCCGCGGCGCCTTTGATCTCGCCGCCGGAGCCGGTCCCGCCGCCCCTGCCGCAAACGAGCGTCCGCCTCCACCTTTATTCGGTCCGACGCCACGCACCGAGCCGGAGCCCTTCGCCCTCGATCTAAATAGAGGCTCTATTTGGTAAACAGGAGCTACCGTCCGCCAGTGTTGTGCCGAGCCTTGTAGAGTGGGGACGTCGGTATGGGGTGTGCGAGTTTGCAGCGCGCCACGGCGCATCGTCCGCGATGACTGCGCGCCTGCGCACCGACTGCCTCGCATGGACCATATTATGTGTACGCATACCATTGTTTTTTTTTCCTACGTGAACCTCCTTGGTGATTGCTCATTTATAGTCTGTGTCAATTAGCGCACTTGTGTTGGGGTTGTTTATTTTCTTAAATGTGTACCTTCTTGGTGATTACTCATTAATACTGTGTTAATAAACGCGTGTGGTGCGTTCTGTGTGTTTAAGTTTCTTCTGCCGTTTAGTCTTCGGGGTTACCCTGCATATAATCAATGTGCAAAGTTTTAATGGAAGATATACATGCAGATGTCGACGTCAGAAATTTATTACACATTTTATGAAATAAGTAAATTGGCGACTGACCAGTCAAATCATTCACATCACAGTGTGAATTAAATAAACGTTTAATAGGAGAAGAGTTTAAAAATTGCATCAATTTCTATATGTCATGTATTATAGGATATTTATAGACAAGAAGCTGTTAACTAAGTCGTCAATTGCAATTTATGGTGAAGTTAACCATTGCAAATTCGTAATAAATAGGATCATTATTAATATTGGGCATCGGCCGCTTGAACAAGGTTTTACTTTTGTATGAATATATAATTTGTAAGTCCTGCATCAGAAGATCACGTTTTGACTCGACGAAATCACAATATAAGTTTACATTCAATGTACGGTATTTTACTCAGGTTTCGAATAAAACTGGGAGCTAAGTCTGTGACAAAAAAATTGTGAGAAAAACATTGTTGGTTGTTTTTAATATTTCAGAAGTTCTAATCTTTAGATATCTACAAAGTGGAGAAAATTACTGTTTATTATTTATCCCTCATTTGACTTTTCTTCTTCGTTGCACTCACGCCACATAGTCCACGTTCCGCGCTAGCTTTGAAATAGAGAAAAAAGAAAACGCCTGTCGTTAGCCGCGTAGACGTTTATGGTTACTGCCTCTGTCCATAGGGACTCGACGTGACGTTATTTAGTCCATAGCATTCTTCAATGAATACACTAAAGTGAACCCAACTTGATTTTTTCTAATCAAGCTTGCAGTTTCTGGGAGTAGCGCGCTTAAAGATGTTAGTTTTTTGTTTTATTTTATTAAATCATCCAATTTAATACGGAACACGAACGTGTGTTCTAGTTGTTGGAAGAGTGATGCGTAAAGTTAAATGGTTGGACTTTTTAAGCTATTAATACAAGTATCGTCAAAAATCCTAAGAAATTAAATTTTACGTACTAGATATGGGATATAACACAAATGTTATTTAAAAAAAGACCCCTTTAAACCCTTCCCTAATGGAGTTATCAGAGTTTTAGGAGGTCATGTTTCTGTATCCACTTAACTAGTTTATTAAATTTATTCAAATACCGACCAGAAAGCAGATGTCAGTCGCTTTCGATCCAATCACTTGGTTATTTGAGCGGAAACATTGAGTAAATCATCATACATTGAGCAAATTGATAATCGTGTTTTAATATAATAAGATTTGTCACATTTCTGTATCTAAGTAATTTATAGCTTTTAATTGACTAGGGTATTGGTAGAGCATCAAGATTCGCCTATATTTTAAAAACTTTTAGATCTTGTGGTAACATTATTGTCAACAATTTCAATCAAGTCCTGAGTTTCCAGACACCGTTTTATTTTATTTAACTTGGCTCTTACATTATTTATTTGTTTATTAAAAATACCAACAGTTTATAATAAATTATGAATTAGTATCGCAAAATCAAACACAGCTAATAACAGGTTTTTCTTGAATAACATGTTGTGGAGTCTTATTGGCAAGAGGTTACATTTGAATTAGGAGATGCGTGAATATGGATTTAGCATAAAATATTTGCTTTCTCGAGATAAAGATGGTGTGTTACTAACCTGTTGTTATTCTCAAGAAAGGCATAGGTCATATGCGGTAAGCCTTAAACGAATACATGGCTTTAAACTACTCGATGCTCAGACTACCAAAAAAGTAATAGAAGAAATATTCAAGCTGACCGATAGCAATTAATACAATGTTAGAGAAAGATCAAAAGGGGGCTTTTATCAACATACCTGATATCTGTTCAACAAACCTATATATTTAATAACATCCTTCATTTTAAGATGCAGGCCATTACTGATATTGTAATCATTCACTTTTAAATACATATGAAATTAATTAATTAGCTTCTTAGGTGTGGTAAAATTTACCATGACTAAATATTTTATAAATCCAGCGTAACCTATTTAAAGTCAGTTATTATCATAAACAAACGTAGAGCATTAAATTGAATTATTCATTGTTTGAGTATTGCACGACTAGAATCACTTCATCTGTCATACAGGAAATGTGGAATTATGAATTATTAATAATCACAGACGGAGAAAAAAATATGCTTGTTATTTAAATAACATCATCCAGTAAGATCAGTACGTATTGAAACTACGAATTTAAACAATGTCATCGACCAATAAAGAGAGTTTCTTAAAAACGAATTCTTCCGGCTTTGGAAAAAGTTTTTAATCTGTCAACATATTTAGTATGAGTAGGTAAATTTAGTAAATGTTTATGAGAACATTCCGATAATTGCTTATTACAGCCATTGTTTGCAAACCCAAGTAAACTCCACAAGGACACTCAACAAATGAACATACAGACGATGTTAACCATGGTTGTTGAATATTTTTTCTATTGGTAATCAATCACAGCGTTGTATAGTACGATATTTTGTGCGTCAATTTTTTTACGAAAAAAAAAGAACGGGAAAACAACTACAGCGACAATCTTTTCGTACTTTTTCTACAACTTTTAATGTTTAATCTTAAGTGCAGACATTAGGACTATAAAAAACTTTAAATTTCTAAAGACAACTTTATTTAACAAAATGAATCATGACAAAAATTTCTTTATATGATATATAACTTACTGAAGGAATCTGTTGTAATTTTCTTATCGAATTTGATTACTTGAATTACGTTAAGGGTTACTTATTTTCCTTAATTCTAATGTTCCAGATTGTTCTGAGTGTAACAAGTGAGAGCGTGTCGCCACGAGATAGTTTGAGGCTCACCTGGTTATCCAACAGCTCGCTCACTTGCAATGATGGCAGCCCTGCTGGGTAGGTGACATATCATAAACATTCTACTGCCCTTAAGATATGGTGAAGAATCTTTAACGTAAGAGAAATTTTACGTTCCAGATATTATTTTCGGCGCGGCACCAACAGTAGACATTGGGTGGTGTATCTCGAGGGAGGTGGCTACTGCTGGGACATGGCTTCTTGTAATGCCCGAAGACGTCGGCGTCCCGGACTCATGTCATCAATTCGATGGCCGAAGAAACGTCGGGCACCGGCATTGCTTTCAGCAGATCCCGACTCTAATCCTTTATGGCATAAATCAAATCACGTGCTGTTGCCGTATTGCACAAGCGACATGTGGGCAGGCACTCGTGTTGAGCCGAGACCGAACAATAGCTTCACCTTTGCCGGTCGTCTTATAGTCCATTCTGTACTCACCGATCTACTTCAATTCGGGCTGGAAGGACGATTGCTGCTAGTTGGGTCGAGTGCCGGGGGGGCTGGAGTAATGCTAAACGCAGACGCTGCAAGAAGGGCTCTTCGGCCGCACGGCGTCCGTGTAGCCGCCATCGCCGACTCTGGTTGGTTCCTCGATCGACCAGCGAAGGGCAGACGCTCGTTTTCCACGGACGCCGTCGCCAGGCTAGGTCACTCATTCTGGCGCGGGTCGCCCCCAACTGCCTGCATGCGCGAGTACCCCGACAAACCGTGGCTGTGCTACTTCGGCTATCGCTTATACCCTCACGTTCGTACACCGCTCTTCGTGTTCCAATACCTGTTCGACTCTGCCCAACTAACGGCAGAGGGGGTCCGAGCACCGCGAACGCGCGCTCAGTGGGATGCCGTCCATCAAACGGGTGCAGCGTTACGGTCGAGTTTGAAAACCGTAAGGGCGACGTTTGCGCCGGCATGCATAGCGCACGGGGCTTTAGCACGGCCCGAGTGGCTCGCGATTAACGTATCGGGTGTGCCGCTGCCACGGGCGATCGCGTGTTGGGAGCGCCGGTTCGAGGGAGGGACCAACTACAGCCGGACGCGTTGTGCCCCGCGGAGGCTTATCGAGAAGTGTTCGTGGCCGCAGTGCAACGGGTCGTGCCCCCGGCTTAGGGACCCCCGGACAGGAGAAGAGGTGGCACTAGCGGCGCTTCTGCAGAGTTTTGGTTTGGACGTGCGCGGTGCCGCCGCGGCTATGGGGCTCGACGCACGACAACTCGCCCGCATGAGTCGTGCCGAGCTCTTGCCCCTTTTAGCGCCGCATACGTGACTTCGGCCTTATAATAATGTGCTTAACGCACAGTGAATCTACCTCGTTTTTGTTAAAAGTACAAGTATTTTCTAATTTAGACACTATTTATTATTACCGATACTATGGTATCCCTATTTATATAAGTAAAAGAAGATATTATAAATATTGTTTTATTCATCTTTCCCTTTGGTCTCTTATAACGAGTATAATTAATAAAGTAACGTTACACGTATAATTTACATATGTACAATTCATTCATAATTCCTTCTAAAGCCTAAAGGAACGACTGACTAGTTATTAGCTATTTACAGAACACTTATAGAATATCTCACTATTGTATCCTTTTGTGCGTTAATGGAATGTGCGGCAGTGGGGCGTTAGCGGCGGAAGTTTCTGATCATTATTCAACTAGATAAATCGTCGTGGTATGTATAGATGGCGGTGCGGCTCGGAGCGGTTATGTGGAAGCCAAGGAGAGCGCAGGACCACTAACGAGTCGCGACCTCCTTGCGACCCATTTACCCGGAGACCTCCTTTGCGGGCGAGAGTGCCGCGTCGTCATAAACGCGAGCCGCGCTCGACGCTGAGTGCTATAGACAGGTCGACGACGTCGTTCGCCAAGAAGAAATCTGTGGATACGATGTTGGCACGCTGCCTCCAGACAGTGGCGAGGCGAACGGTTACGTTGCGGTTCACGTCGTCTGCGTTTGTCCTAAGCGACCCGCGCAGTAGGAGTATGTCGAGCACTGTCGGCGTGGTCTGCGCCATAGCGGAATGCAGCGGCGACCTGGCCGTCGGTTGTGGCGACACGCTTATCGCTTGGTCCAAGTAGCGGAACAGCTCCGTCGGGCTATTCGTGTTCGCCCACAGATGAGGTAGAATCGGCCACAGCCAGCTGTGCTCTGAAATGGGCGGTCACGTTGCAAATTGAAATCATATTCTACAAAAGCTGGATAGCTCTATCCGCTTTTCTAAAGGTTAATAATTTTGCGAGAAATAAATAATAATTTTTCAAGAATAATAGTATATTTTTATTAAATAGTAGCATTCTCAACAAAGATTTATGTAATGTGAACAGGATATGTGTTTTCATTGCAACGTTGATCACGAGTATTTTATTGAATGTTACGGTAAGCCACGAATGAAGTTAAATCGTTCAATTTTAAATTTAATTATTAAGAAATTGTTAAAGCAATTTTATATCTAGTGAAAAATTATGCTCGTTGTGAAACGAAACCAAAGCTTATTCTTTGTTTAAAAATTATATTACATATGCATATATACAGTAAGATTCAGTGGCAGATTTGATTTTAAGATTTGCCCTAGGCATATGACATAGGCCACTCGTTGGTACATACTCGTTGTAAAGAAAAAAATAATTAAATGAAGTAAAATAAAATTAAAATAAAAAATGACGAAAGTCCGTAAATGATATCGAATTATGAGCTGAGGAATGGTACCTACTCATCGAGCCCGCTTGATTTAATATAGTTTTTTACGGAATGTTGCTTATGCGAAGGGGCGAGAGGCGTAAGGTTAGACTACTAAAATAATCACACTAATTTGTCGCCCCCTAAATTTCGCCGCCCTAGAGGCCTTCTAGGCCTATAGGGGAATTCGCTGTTGCTGAGATTTTAAGTGACATCTAACATAAAATTTTATTAAACAGTGAATCGTATGATGACTCCGTGGCGTAGTTGCCAAGGTATTGGCTTCGGCTTCGGGGGTCGTGGGTTCGATTCACACAGGGGACAACAATTTGTGTGACTCACAGATAGTTGTTTCGCATCTGGGTGTTTGTCCACGTGAAATTTATGTTTGTAAAAACAACACAGGATAACGTAATCCTAAAGTAAGGGCAATATTGTTAAATTACCAATTCCGAAGACCATTTTTTAAACATTACAAAATTATATACCTATCTAAAAGAAAAAGTTTTCTTTTCTTAAATTGTTTTCAGATGTCAACAGCGTGACATTGACAATATTTAATTTATTGTTATTATGTAAATGATTAAATAAAATCTATATCTGTAATTATCAAAAGAATTAAATGATTACGCTATCTGTCATTTGTTTTTACCATTATCAAATTATTACTTGTCCATAGATTGATATTTTGGCGGTCATGTTTATTCCTAGGTAGGACGTATAATCAAACCGTATTGTTGTAAAAAAATCTGTCAACCTTTCATAATGCTGTATCTCGCGAATATTTTAGGCTAACTAGACGTACGTACTTTCTTTTAAATTTGTATGACTCTACTACTGACTCGATGACCGAATGTTAGTAGGTTGTAAAAACAAAAGTTAAAAGTGAACAAAGAAAAGACTTTATGTTACGAAATTTTACCAAATTATGCGTAGAACGTTCACATTACTGTAAGAATCTGGTTCAAGCTTTAAATAACTTCTGAATGTAGTCTAGACAGAAATGTTTTCATATTTAAATAAGCCTTGCTAAAGAAAATATGTGGTAAATATGTGGAAAATTTTGATGGATATAATTTGGTTTGAAGGCTAAGATTCTTAGTTGGGAATAGTCTTCATAAATAGTACAAACACTAGTATATTTCAATTAAATATTTTCTATATGTAAAGTAAAGTAACAGCTTATATATGTCTAACTGCTGGGCAAAAGCCTCCTCTGCATAGAGGGCTTTTGGGTATGTACCACCACACGACCTAACTACGGGTTGGCAGACTTCGAAAAATCGAAAATATCTTTTATTATTTTTTCGAAGGCATGCAGGTTTCCACACGATAATTTCCTAAGCCGCTGAGCACGTGATAAGTGAGCACGTAAAATTAAAAATTTCATCGGTGCCACCGGGGATCGAAATCAAGTTGCTAGAGTATGTTAAATTAAAAGCGAGTGCTTAGGCAATGGCTACGACAGCTCCTACTTGTAACATTGAAACGTTTATTTCCCCATCATGATGTGTAAAAAAAGTCTTTACAACTTAGAGCAGTAAAAAATGCAGAAGAAAATAATATGAAAAGTAAATAATACCTGAAACGATACCGTTATCCACATAGCTGAACACTAGACGTCGGTCAGCATCTAATAGAGATTGGAGTGTGGTTCCTCTTGTGCCGGGACTAGTTGAAAACAGGCGAGCGTCTGCTACATGGGGGCCAAGTTCCCTTTGTACAATTTCTATCAGTCCCGCGTGGACGCTTCTTATTGGGCTACCGTCAGGTTGGTAGAACCCTACTGGGAAATGATGCGCGTCCAGAAACACGACCTATAAAACGTGAATTTTACTATTTGTATTTATATATTCCCGGATTTCGGTGCATTAGTTAAAGTACAAAAATAAAAAAAAAGGCCGCAAAAATAAGGAGTCACAAAGAAAAATCTGCATATCTCCCAAAGTTGTATATTTTATGCCATAAGTAGATTAATAATACTACTTATAATCTGAAAAGAGGGTTTATTTGTAAAAGTTATAGCTTAAAAACATTATTTTTGTGTGGAAAATTGGCAAATGAGCAGGCGGTTCACCTGATGGTAAGCGATAAGTGACCAACGCCCATGGACACTTAAACTGGGCTCTGGTTACTTCACTCTACATACGAAACGCGAAAGTATAATGCTAGTATTATATAAAGTAAAGTGTAATACTACCACTTCACGATCTTTAGTGAGGCCTTGGTACTTCCCTGGACGAGCCTTCACATTCGTGTAACAGTGAAAGCTCCTGCGTTGTCCTTGAAAACTTGAAAAATAACAAACAGGAAATATAACAATGGAAAATCAGAACAAGAATATTTTATTCACTTTGGTTTTAACCAGAGCTGTCATTATAAGAAATTTCTGGGATTGTCCACACTAATCAGTACGACATTACTATAGTACAAGAAGACATCAATGATATACTGCTAGAGCACTGCGAGTATCCTCTTGCCGAAGTAAAAATAGTACGCCAGTGATTTCGAGAAACTGGCAAGGCAATGTAGTTTTGTAACTTCTAGCAATGAGTTACAAAACTACAGTTTCACGAATCAATTTTAGATATTTAAGGAACAATCACTGTTTTTAGCTACCCTTTATTTTTGCGGCCTACGTACTTGTATAATATTGCGATGCAATCACACAGCGGTTTTTACTGCTGCCTGAATAGGCGGTCACGATTATTCTTGTATTTTGTGTGGTAAAAAATAATACATTGGCTACTTAATGTTTCACGTATTCTTTTAACAATCTAAAGAGATTGGTAGAAGCGCAAAAAATATATTTACAAATTAAAATCATCGGGTTCTATATTAACTTATCTGATGGTTTATGTTATCTTAATCTAAGAAAAAAATCCAATTGATACCTCTTTCGTAACGTCCAGAAACGCCCGTATCTCCTTTAACAAGGGCACTAGGGGTCGGACTCGTATGAGGTTGTGGTTCAACCAGTACCTGAAAGCAATGGCGTTCAATTCAAACTCCAGAAGAGCCTCACCGCTTTGGGAGGAGAGCATTTAGCGGCGGTTCGTAACAGTCTTATGCAACGGCCGAAGGAAGCGTTGCGAGACCGCTAATCATCTGACCGCACTACGCGATCGTTACACCCATCCATTGCGTATATTTAAAATTACTTCGCGAATCGCTCTAGAACTTTCTGCGTGAGTACACACCGTCAGATGTTTAGAAAGTACGTGACCGATTGTGATAGTCGTATCTTATGTTCGAATTATTGTTAAGACTTCTCAATTGACAGCATGCTTTTAGTATGTTAGTTGCTTTTTTTAACGATAGAGGTTGTACCAAACTTATTAAGTTAGTGGAAATGGGCCTGTCACTTTAATTTAAAATATTTGTTTTAACAAAATCGCCAGATTTCTGAACTAAACTGACTCTTATTTGAGTTTCCAAACTACTCTCTACAATATTCAAAATTATTCTTTTATATTTATTTTGCAGACAAGTAATTGGAATATTTCTAGACAAGACACTAAGTAAATTCTCAGTAATAAATCAATTACGTTGTACTTCTTCCATTTTGTAAACAAAATATTTTGCGTCTTTCAATTTATTTCGCGTTATTTCAATTAATGTATCAAAAGCGATCCCATTTTCATCACTACACAGTATAAAACAAAACCGTCCCGCTGTCTGTCTGTCCCTATGTATGCTTAGATTTCTAAAACTATGCAATGGATCTTGATGCGGTTTTTTTTTACTAAATAGAGTGATTCAAGGGGAAGGTTTATATATAGGTGTGTATGATACATTGCACCCGTGCGAAGACGGGGCGGGTCCCTAGTTAAATTATAAGTCAAAGATTGATCATTTTGCTCCATTTCGTTAAGAATGTTTCACGGTTTGTAGGACTCTGGTAGAGCCATTTAAAATTTTGCTTTTAGATATTTGACACAGCTAAATTCAAGAGCTTGTGATGTAACAGAAGACCAAAAAGATGTAAACGATGGAAAATTAATTGCATTGAAATTTTAATAGCAAAAGTGGCATCTTTATTTTAAAAATATTTCTTTGTAAAATTTCGTATGAAAAGTGGTCGTTTGCTGTAACGGAAAGACCAGATGGCATCAAGCATTGCGTGTAGTACAACAAAACCAAAGTAGATAGTACGTCGTGATTTTCGTCGATGTGAAAAGAAATCACTGAGCTCAGTAGCTAGAACGTCAGGTGCGTCATCATGGAGGATGCTGGTTCAAATTCTCCTTGTGGTGAAAAACTTTTTGTCTATATTTCTATAAATTACGAATTTAACGTAAGTGCAGACAATAGCAGTAGAAAAGCTTTGTTGGAGCCGTTGTTTATGGGTGGCGGTTATCGCATGCCATAAAGTACCTAGATATATAAAGTAGCTTGATGAGATGAAGACGATTAAAACATTCGTGTTTAAATCATCAGATGTAATGGATGCTACTGCCTTCGTCTACTCATCAGGGAAATATTAGGTTCAGAGAAATTAGTAAAAAAGTTTCCCGAATAAATAATCTTATTTGACTTTTGTATTCTGTACCCGCTTACCTGTCATCTTTATTCGGGTAAAATTCGTAGTATGCGATCCTGAAGTCCAAGTATCGGATACCGTGGACAAGTTGAGCCCAAATCGAGCGATCTTGACAGAGCACAAAACTGTCCCTGGTGACGGTACTAATCTCCGTGTCGAAACTCCAGGCCCCAGCGTTGTGTGTCCCCGGAAGTACCAGCTCTCCGATACGAAGCTTGTTGATTTTCCCTCTGCGAATATTTGTTCCGTATCATAGAGTTGTAGGTAAATCCTAAGGTAACAGGCAATTTACAAATAACGTTTCAGTAGTAGTGGTTTTTAGCCATATCCGATAATATGTTATATTTTTATAATGTTACGAGTTCTCAAATTTTACGGTCGGATGAGTTTGAAAAATGTCCTATTAATAAACCAATAAAATTACAGAAAGCTTATTTAGTACTTGTTTGGTACTAAATAAGCTTTCTGAAATTTTATTTCAGTACGCGGGTTTTTTGTCGGGTTTTTGCCGTACATCCAACAACACTATCACACCACTGAGATTTTTGAATCTAAGATCGAATGTGCGAGAGATTTAGCGGTCTATATACCATAAGAAATTTTTATTGCCTTAAATTGAAAATACCTTTGCTTACGTTAACTTCAAAAGGTTCCATTTTTTATGTTAAAATATTTTGAACACTTTAAATGGATTGTTTGAATCGTATAATTTGATTCTTATACATATGAAACAATTGCGTCGTGCTAAAAGTAGTCACGAGTTTCGTAAGTAAGACTAACTTTCCCGTACGTGTTCCACTTTTGTCTGATTTAATTTAAAGCATCGTACTATTAATAATGATTAATTCCACTGCGAAAGGTATTGGCTTTAGTAGTAGTCATCGTAGTTGTAAGATTATAATGTCGATAAATCGAGTATGTTTTCCCTAAAAATAATGTCCTTATAGACCGCATATTAAATACTTTTGTTTTAGTGTTCATTTGTATTTTTAAGTATTGCTCCTAAAAGTACGTATTGATAAATGTATGCATTCAAAAGATAGTGCACAGGGGATTCCTCGATCTCTGCTTATCCCTTTGGATCAAGACCAAACGCGTAGCAAGTATTTTTATTCCCATAAATGGGTAACTACAACTTAAATACGGTAGCAGTATTTAAGTCTTCCAGAACTTATTTAAGTAAAAGAGACGAAACCTAATTATTCATTAAGTCGATTGAGTTCATTTACAATAAATGGATATTTTTAAATATACAAATTGCTGTATTACCATATTAATTAATGCAGAAACGTAGTGTTAAATTTTATGTAACCAATAGTACGTACCGTCTCGTTCATAAATTTAAATCCAATTAAGTTTATTGACACTATTTATAGAGTTTCATTTACCCATCCTTCAAATAAAGTACATAAATATTACGTCGAGTAACTTTTTACCTAGACAAACGTGAAAAGGTAAACTGTTCTAAATTGTTCAACTTCTGCTGTTGTTCAACTTGGCTCATCAGGGGAAGTACCGCAGCCTCACAGAAGATCAGCGTGAAGTGGAAATATTAAACTTTAGCGTTTCATCTTATTAGTAGGTTAACCGGTACCGTATGTTTTAAAGGTGGTCAACGCATTTGCCTTCGGATGCCCTCGGATGCCTTGGATGTTGTAGATACCCCGGACGGCGGTAGTCACTTAATATCAGGCCAAGCGCCGCCGGCTCGCTTGAAGAAGTCCCGCATAAGTAAAATGTTATTGTAAACAATTACGCATTGTCCTCCATCCACGTTGGTTGTATCTTCAGGCAGTTGTAAGCTTGAATGTCAGCATCGCCGGCGCCCACCCACGGCCAGAGGCAGTTGGGACCACCGGAGCCGGCTCCGGTGTCCCAGCCGGCTGGTAGAGTGCCCTCTCCGAGCGGAATCCTGGTGACGACGTGCCCCTCCGACGACTGTATCGGATATATCGCTAACGCTTTGTTCCATCCACCGGGCCGATGATTGAAAAGACCGATCTGCAAGTCGTTATACATTTGACACTCATGAATGTACTCGACGTGTATGTACGTATAAGTATGTTATGTTATTGTAGAGACGAGTCGTTGGATTTGTGTTTAATTACCAAGCAGGAGAAAGAAAAGCTAAAAATATTTATATAACAGAGTATTATGAATGTAGGTGATTGAAATAAAAAAAATATTGAATAAAAAACATTTATATTATTAAAAATTGTAGACCAAGCGGATTTGTGCCTAGAACCATATAGTTATAACCATTGAACGAGGTATTCCTTGCTGAATAGTTATGCTTAACTTTTTAGCGAGAAAACACCAGCCCTCTTGTCGTTAGCCACCGCGATAAGTCTAGGCTAGGACATAAATCTATCAAAAATTATCTGACAAACACATAATCTGTACAAAGAGACTCATATTTGCGCCATTTATTTATTTTCATCACAGATGGCATCAAGCATTGCGTGTAGTACAACAAAACCAAAGTAGATAGTACGTCGTGATTTTCGTCGATGTGAAAAGAAATCACTGAGCTCAGTAGCTAGAACGTCAGGTGCGTCATCATGGAGGATGCTGGTTCAAATTCTCCTTGTGGTGAAAAACTTTTTGTCTATATTTCTATAAATTACGAATTTAAACGTAAGTGCAGACAATAGCAGTAGAAAAGCTTTGTTGGAGCCGTTGTTTATGGGTGGCGGTTATCGCATGCCATAAAGTACCTAGATATATAAAGTAGCTTGATAGATGAAGACGATTAAAACATTCGTGTTTAAATCATCAGATGTAATGGATGCTACTGCCTTCGTCTACTCATCAGGGAAATATGCCACTGATGCTGTCTTCGCCCGGATCGCAGTGTCCCCATGATGAAAGGCAGCGTCTACATGACTAGAGTAGCATTCCATAGAAGGCCTTTGGCTCTCTCCCAAGGGATCGAATCAAGCTGTCGGTTTGCTTGCTATTATGACTAAAAATGCCACAAGGTTCTCATACTGAAGGAACCTTGTCGGAAACAAGAGCCTTACGAATAACCATAACTTATGAGAACAACATGGCGGGAAAAGCGGCCAACATTATTTTGTCATAATATAGGCGTCATATTTTGGACAAAAACTATCGATATCAATTTGAGCTTTACTGAAAGTGCAAATTTATATATTTGGAATGACATTAGTCGATACATTTAGTATTATTGTTTCCTCGTTAGGGCCATAGGTAACGCGTTGAAGTAGACGGGTACTTGACTATAATAAGTACAAACACGTCACGCCGACTACAGAAGGCGACCGAGCGGAGTATAAAGACTTCCACTATTATTAGTTTCGTAACGAAGCATTGACGGTATGTTATAAAAGATGTCGTCAATGAATGAGCCTCACGTGCGGAGAGCACGTGTGCAAGAGATTTATTTCGGCGTCTCTGACGACGGGAATCTTTATATAATTTCAAATTTACGTCAGCGATGTTCAGAAAATAGCACACTGCCATCGGACCATACATATGTTATGACTATCGTCCGTATAAACTTATTTTTATTTTGTTTTTGCATTATTTTCTTAAGAAACGTAAAAATTTAAAACCGTAAAAACATATATTCAAGTTGTGAACCATGATTACATAGCAGTCGCGCATTATTTTTAATCATTGTTCGTTTGGTGCGTTAAGGAAAAAATGATGAGAGTAAAGTTTTACGATGTGCGTATTTGTACAGTGACATGATCATTAATGATGAATTAAATCAATGACTGTCCTATAATATAAGTAATGTGTCAAACATTAGTACTGTGTCAAAACTTTGAAATTTTTGATATATAGGTATTTTATATCAGCGACGGACTTATGGTGTTAATTTCATGTTTAGTTTTATTTTGCTACACTAAAGACGTAGATAGAACTTCGTACGTGTGTGCAAATCTTTCGGATATGACGTAAATAGAACAACGGTGCTGATAAATCGAATGGTATTGACTAATTATTGGAATATTTGATTTAAATAAGATTGATGTATAAATTGTTAAGTGATTTAATTACGTATTTTTGATTTGTAACGTATTTGCATGTGCGATAAAACAGATAAGACTTAATCCTTACTAATATTATAAAGGCGAAAGTTTGTATGTATGGATGGATGTTTGTTACTCTTTAATAATAATAATATAGCTTATACATCAGAGTACGACATAGGCTATAATGTATATACATATTTTATGTATATCTGTCTTTCTGTCTGAATGTTACGCGTTCAGCCTATTCTACAGACGTAGTCGCGGGCAGCAGCTAGTGATAACTATATACGAAAGAGATTATGCTAGGCGTCTCACTTGTCTAGGTATGCTTTGGCAATCGTTAAAGTCCCAGTTGAGTTCGAGAGCGTCCTGGATTCGCCCTCCGTTTGTCAATCTTATCTCCGGCGAATGGACAGTCAACCAAACTCGACCACAACTCGACTTTTCCACAACTTGTTTCTCAGTTGCTGAAACAAAAGCAATTTTTCATAAACTTGTCTGTTCAAAAGTACGATCGATAGACGAATGGGCTTGATTTTTTATTTGTCATTCTTTTTTTTTATTGATCATTGATAACTGAAAAAAATTGTCACATATTTGACCTTTGGCAATCGCCAAATGTGTTCAGTTCCAAATATTAATATTTGTTAATGCAAACTTACTTTTCATTAAGAAAAACTATAATAGTAATACAATTTTTAATTTATGAAAAACAAAAGACGTCATTAACGTACCTCTCGTATACAAATCTATTTACATATTAAGTATATAGGATAATCTATTATTAATAACCATTATAAACATAAATTTATAATGGTTCATAATTTATTGTATTTACGCGATTATACATTATAAATGAAACTTATTTTTATGGATTTATCGCGTTTACTTTTAATTTTAATTCAGGGTTCGAAACGTCGGGAATTAAAATTAAAAATAAAATCGATAAATCCGTAAAAATTAGTTAACAATGATTTATGTTGAAACTACTTACTCAAATATTTAACAGAATTAATGGTTATTTTCACACTTAGCTGCATATAACAGATAACTGAAGATATCGTTAATTCATATACTCTTTGCGATAGGTTCGTTGTCAATTGTACGCTGCTTGAGAATAATGCACTTATTAAAGGCATATTTGTCGATATGTTTGTACAGATAATTAGTACTGCATTACTAATATTACTGCAGTACTAATTTTCAAGAAAAAATCCTATAGAATTTTCTAAACTTACTAAGTGGTAACATTCGGTAATGTAGTTAATGCAATTGTTTTTATTGAGTTGTAGTTTTACGGCTGAGGACATAAAGGTCATAGGTTCAAATCGCAGTGACGTTCACGAAAGAGATTTCAGTTTTCGGATATATTAAGTGAAGTTCACTAATTTATGCTCACGCCCTTGTATTCCATGACAAGACCACCATGTTACGACTAACACGGCACAGGCAATTTCAGTCTACTCATAATAGTTAAATAGTTGAGCTTAGCTAACTTTAATTGACACGATGGGTATTTTTGTGTTTGATATAAAATAAATCTCTGCGACCCAATGGGATCGAACCCATGATATAACACAAATACTAGCTTCCAAATCGCACCATTCCAGCTCTTAAATTTTGTATTGCGCGTTAACAAGTTTTAACAAAGAAAATTGGTTTTCCAAGCGATTTATAAACAAAAAAGTATCTTTTAAACTAAGCAGATAATGGGAGTTCTTTTTTATTAATTACGGGCGAATCCATTTGTAGTAATTAATTAAGCTAGCTTCAGGATTTTTAGAGAGTACAATACTAATTTAAGAAAAGTTCTGTCATAATGGTATTTTCCTTATAAAAAGTTGAGTTCTTTCCAATATTTAACAATGATTCTTTCATCGGTTATGCCTTAATTTTGCGCATTATTTAACACCAAAATTTCTTTTGGAGTCAAAGGTCTCATAAAGAAATTCGTAATTATATAGTTATTTAAACGAAATTGTACATACAAAAGCCAAAAAGATAATAAAATCTAAATCAGTTTTATCTGTCACCAAAAAATGTGGACGCCAAAGGATTCTTAGATTTCGTTAACATTTTAGTGTATTTACTCTTTGTTGGAAGTGTTACTTAATTTTAACGTTTCGATAGAATGAAAGTAGCGATTGGTGTGGAAAACAATAATGCGGTGCAACCGTTAACCCAATAAGTGCTTCCTTTGACCACATTTCTACGTACATACACGTTTTAAATTCCGTACAATGCGACTCGTATTTATAACAGAGTCTGAAGACGGCGCACGTAGGGGCATTGCTCTGACTGAAATTAGAAAAAAATGTTATAACGACGAAATAAATCCACAAAATATGACTTTCATTTAAACTTGTTTTAAATCTAGACAGATCGTTCAAAATTTCACTTGCATTTGAATGATTGTTTCATGTTTTATTTCCTTCGCATTTTCTTTGTAATATGTTATTTATCGATGTATAGTTGTTTCATTGCTTGAATAATGTGTACAAAAATAATGAGTAACTATATAATTTAAAAGTAGCGATGATTTCCGTAAACAAAATCTTCAGGTGAAATTCGTAACGTAAGAAGAAATAATAAATTGCAGCTCCGTTTTGCGTTGAACTTACGATAATTATGTAATTCTAATGACATAACAAATAGAGGTAAATAATTCTTTAGTCTAAGCGCGTTCTGTCCTTTTACGGATAAGGCTGATGTTATGCAAGGGACTCGTAGCAATAGAAATGCAACACTGTTTGTTTGATGTCCCAATAATTATACAGTTTAAAACTGTATGCCTAAATGTAATAATTTTAACACTGTTAATTTAATTACACTTAATTAGGGTATTTTAATTATAAGAACATTTCTAATTATGTATAGGTACGATTCCGATTACATTTCGAGAAAACATTAACAACTTTCAACACATCCAATTGAACACCTGAAGACAATCGCATATCAAAACTACATACGAACTACATAAAACTATATCAAATATAAGCTGAAAGAATTTACGAAACTATTGTAAATGAAAATTCGTAAACAATGCGATTTAATAGTTTAACTGACAAATTGCCAGTGAATGGCGATTCGGATACCGCCATTCGCGAAATAATAAATAAACAAACAAAAATAGACTCACGCGCGATCGACGCGCCCAGGACCGTCGCGGCGAGTGTAGCCACAGCGTACCACGCGGCGGCCATATCGATCGGTGGCCCTCGCAGCACTGACAGCAGAACACAGCAAACAGATTTGGCGTTCTTTCGCCACAATTGTGTGCTGCAACGAAGCAGCCATTGGCGCTCGCATCCTGTTCGCAACACATTGCGTGATTCACCGCGGCTTTGTTCGCGATTGCGAGCCCAGCGGTCATTGTAACGCGCCGAGGGAGTCCGCCGTGTATTGGTCGGCTGGTGGTAGGGGCTCTGGTGGTTCCCACACGTGATAACCTCCGCACGCCAGAACGAGACTACCGCGCCGTGAAGCGGGTGGCTACATCTCCCTTTTGTGTATGGATATAACTATGTCCATTTACCGTATCGCACTAAATTGATACAAGTTCCGTTTTTCCTTATTATGGTATGTTCGCGAATAACACTAATTTACGGCAATAAGTAAACAGAAATTTCTAGAATGTTTGTACTAGCTACAATAAAATAAAGACTTTTATTATTTAACAAATAACGAAATCTTAGATAGACTTTAATGTTGAATTCGTCAATTCATCACGTTTATTAATTTAAAGTACCAGTTCACTATTATATAGTATGTTTTACTATTTTTGATAAAATTTGTTGTATATAAGTACATATATATAAGGATTTAATTAATGGCAACCCTACGATAACCACGTGCAAGCTCCCGGATGTCACTTATCAGTTCTTTATACGGACATCACAACAGATTTGGTCTTATTCCATTTGTTTTAATTCAAGGAAACGATGGGTAAGGGTCAGTGGGGATATGGCATATTTGTATCGAGGGTAAACCGCTTGACGTTGAGGATTATAAGGGTTATTTCGGTGAAATATTAATGCTTCACATCTGTTACATAAGTAGCAGCGTATGATACGCATATTTATGATATGGGTATAGTCTCTTATAGTTATTGAAACGCAAGCGGTTGAATGTAACGTAAGTGATTAGTAGAGTTAATTTTTTTAATATAGCATTTTGAGTTTTTCACGCGCAAAGAAAAGGAGTTGTAAATTTTGTAGAACTTAATGTTAAATGGCCAATTAAAGAAAAGTATAAATAAGAATGGAGCCGTGATAGCTCAATGTCCGGGCGTTCGCCTTTAGTTCAATATACTAAAGCAACCTGAGTTCGATCCTCGGTGCAGGCACCAATGAAATTATAAATTTTAAGTGTTGACTTATCACGTTCTCAGCGGTGAAGGAAAACATCGTGAGGAAACTTGCATATTTGGAAATAATAACAAAAAAATATATATTTCGAAAATATGTGAAGTCTGCCAATCTGCAGTGGGGCCGCGTGGTGGACGATGACCTGATACCCTCTATGCAGAGGAGGCCTTTGCCCAGCAGTGGGACATGTATCGCTTGTTACTTTACTTTCATAAATATGAATGTTATGTGGTGAAAAATATCCAAAGGTTATCATAATCGGTCATCCGATAAAGAAAACATAAACCTTCGTTTACTCTGTCTGCTTTATAGACTGCACTAAGATTGACAAAGGATATTAAGAGGATAATGCTTCCATGAACTTAGTGTCACTTTGCTTTACCTTAAACTGTTAATATAAATATAAATAATAACTCGTAAGTGAGGTGTCGAATATTGCATGGGTTTCATAGTATGAACGGACATTGGTATATATTGGCGTGGGTATGATTTGTAATGTGTGGAAGTAAGAAAATTAGCTGGAGACAACAACTGGAGAAACAACAACGTACGTGGGTTATAGTTAAGCAGTTTCAAATTTAAAATTATGTTACATACATACCGCATAAAATGTGAAAATAAATTTTAGTTTTACGGACCAATAATCCAAGTCCATATTTCACGTTTATGGATGAGCAAGATTTTTTATAAAATATTTTACTTGTGCTTAACAATGCCATAGTAGAAAAACTTCATGTATCGGATGAATGGATCGATGATGTGTTTACTGGTAATAATAAAAACTATATAAAATATGGACAGCTAATTAGAATGATTAGGTTTAATTAAACGTTGGTGAAGCACATTAATTAAAAGTTGTTTTAACGACATTACTCAATAAAAACTCTTAATAAATCACTGGTAGAAAATGACATTGGCATTAAGTCCGCCTTTGTATTAGTGTGTGGCGGTCAGTTTAAATAAATAAATAAAATCAAAGAAACTATTCAAGAAGCTGGGAAAGCGTTTGGTCATTTAAATGTTGCAATAATTACAAAACATAAAACCATTGAATTCATAATTTATTTAAAACGTAGAGTTTAATATGGTATACATTAGAACAAAATTAATTTAATTGCTCGCTTAAATATCGTAAAATATGTGGATCACCCTTCTTAGCACCTTATTAAAATACGGCTTATTTATAGTAAAATTATTGATTCTCTTTTTCAAACTCAATAAAGTTATCGACGCCTTCGGAACGTTTCTCTTTTGTTGCACTACGGAAAGAAGTAGCCAGGGATGGAGCTCGGCTTGGGTTACGTAGTACTGGCTTCTGAAGTTGAAAGAAATTCAATGACGATTTCAGTTCCTTCATGAAAACTTCCTTGTGTGTTACCTGAAAAGGAATTGTATAAAAGAAAGATAAAGATATACTAAGCGTATGTAGAAGTAGGTAGTTGTTATTTTTTGATCTCTGTTACATATTCTTGCAACTGAGTTATTAAGTTAATTCACTTGTTTGTTAACCTCGGCTGCGCCAGAAGAGATAAGTTGAAGCACATTAAAAGTCTACAACGGTTTTTAAAAATAAGGGATTTGATAGTTACGAATAAAGTAGTCTGCGGTAAATAAGTAATGAGAATTGGTTCACAAGTTGATTGCTCGATACAGGCATATAAAAAACAAATTTAATCATAATTTATTATGATTTTTTTCCTATCTAATTCCTCCTTCCAATTTAAATATTGTTAAAAATACTAACTTTTTCACGAACCACGATATTTCGAACTTCGTTCATGAATTCTGCGGCCGTAATGAACAAAGCTAATATAAGGCCTACAACCAAAACCACAAATGCTCCTATCAAATTTTTAATTTCTAAATCGCCTTCCACGTCATTTTTGTCTTCTTCTTGCTGTAAAAATAAAAATTTGTTATGTAAAATAACTATAATTTAATAGCATCATACCAATATTATTAAATTATAGTTATGTACGCCTATTGTACTTCCTTTTATATTCATTTGTAATTTGCTATATATATATATATATATATATATATATATATATATATATATATATATATATATATATATATATATATTTATTTTTTTTGGTGTACAATAAAGTATAAATAAATAAAAATAAATATTTTTCATACATCACAAGATTTAGCTCCATATTTATTTTCCCACCATTTCCTTTTTATTTTGTCCAAGGCATTCGATTCCTTTAATTTAAGAATCGCTCTATTTATATCAGTTCGAAAAGGCGAATCTGTAAACAATTACAGTTGTACATCGTTTGTTTATTTTTGACATCTTTAAATAACGATCGCAAACGTCCTTACTTGCAGGCATGGCGATACCATAATCTTTTGAATCCAATTCCCCTCCGACTTTCTTCAGATCGCAATTCCTCTTCAATTTATATTCGATTGTTACGGATTCCATGAAAAAGGCGTATTTTCCTTTTCCATTTATCACTCTTTTTTCGCCCTCGTCATTATTCTTTACCAAAACAACTTTATTGGCTATCATGTTTTCATACATTCTTTGATACATCTTATCCTTTGAATTCTGAAAGTGTCCGAATTGAGAAGTAATGACAAATTGTTTTTCTTCAATAAATGTATCACTTATAAATACCATACGCGTTAATTACCTTGAAAAAGCTCAACGTAGAGCCACCATCGAGGGCACCGTACAAGATTTTGTTTTGGTTCGCCAGGTCTTCTACGCTGTTTATTGGTTCGTTCTCTAAAGCGGAAGTCATTGAAGCTGATAGTTGGGCAATGTATGTCTGGCAAACTATCACTGCAAAAAACCACCACATGGAGCAGACCCATCTCGTGCCTATTGCCCTTTGAAAACGGAGAAAAAAATGTAAATTACCCAATACCTTAAAGACAAGTTCATTCAATAAAAACTGTTCAAAGAAAAATGTTTAGACGATACTTCGGTAAAATATCGCATCCTTGTGTCATTATGGATCCCATTGTAAGCCACGCGCAGTTTTTGAAATTCCATATATTTTCCAATTCTTCAGGGTCTCTATCGCAAGGTTGTGGATTTTCCCAGTCCGCAGGTGAAATTCTGATAAGTATTGAATATCATTTAGATAACAAGATCGTTCCAAAGCAATATTATATGCATAAATGTTTTTGTGGTGGACAAAAACAAGCTACTGATTATTATATTTCAAGAGGGCTGATACTCAAGTAATGATGAATATTTATTGACAAAACTCTACACGTTACACAATCACCATCGATTGAACCTGAAGTAAATAACCAGACAGATTTATTAGATGATAAATGTAAATGGCGTTGTTTATGAAATAAAAAATATTCAATTGTGAATAATTTTATATACCTTGAACAAACAAAGAGGACAATTGAGACGACACAATATGCAGTGGCAATATACATCCATACTTCAAAGGTATATGGATTTAAAAAAGAAAACATCCCTGGGTCTACTTTCTTCTCTTGAACGTATAGTATACTTATACCCAAGCTCATGAACGGCACTGAGAAGTCTACTACTTTTTTTCTCTCTTCAGTTATTGTCAAATCACAAACAGCTAGGTCGGCTTTCTGCGAAGTTAAATTATTGATTATAAAAGTCTTGCATCGGAAAGTAAAACGTAATGTGCCAGTAATTTTATATTAAATATTAAGCTGATTTATTAATTTCTATTTATTACTATACGCCGTGATAGCTCAGTGTCCGGGCGCTCACCTTCAATATACTCGAACAACCCGAGTTCGATCCCCGATGCCGGCATCCATGAAATTGATAATTTTAAGTGCCGAATTATCACGTGCTCAGTGGTGAAGGAAAACATCGTGAGGAAACCTGCATATTTTAGAAATAACAAAAAGAAACTATATTTCGAAGGTATGTGAAGTCCGCCAATCCGCAGTGGGGCCGCGTGGTGGACTATGCCCTGATACCCTCTGTACAGAGGAGGCCTTTGTCCAGCAGTGGGACATGTATAGGCTGATACTTTACTTTTTTACTATCATTATTAAATAATGAGCTTTATCTTTTCGTCAATGACTATATGTCAAAAAATATATCTCGGTTCATCTCACTTTATCTAACAAATCTCCAATTAGACCATTCCATTTTTTCTTGTCCTTATCATAATGTCCATATTCGTAATCAGTGTCATATTTAAACGAATACGTGTAGTTGAAATTATCTTTTTTTAACGTTTCAAATATTTGTTTGACAAGGTCCACTGAGAAACCTTCATATTTTTCACCATCATCGTCTTCGCACTCCTCTGGTTGACATTTCTCCTTTTCGTAAAAGTAAGGCTTAGCCCGACGCGATATCACCTGTATGGTAAAAATTGCACTACATATTATTTTATGTATATTATTCATTAATAGTGTTCAAATTATAAAGTCCTGTGAAATAAATGTTCCTTGGTGAATTTTATTAATATACATTTACACGAATGGTGAAATCGCAATTGTGACGAATTAACGATAATAACTTTTTATCCTGTACATAGGGTAAATGATATGACAATGATAAGTAGAATAATAATAGTTAATATTTATCTAGAAAATCTGCAAGAGCTGTGATAGCACAGTGTCCGGGCACTCGCCTTTAAGTCAATATACTCGAGCAACCTGAGTTTGATCACTGGTGCCGGCACCAATGATTTTTTTAATTTTAAGTGCTGAATTATCACGTGCTCGTCGGTGAAGGAAAACATCACGAGGAAACCTGCATATTTTCGAAAGAATAACAAAAAATATTTCGAAAATATGTGAAGTCTGCTTACTTTTCAAAAATGAACAGCTTTTAAAAATACTATATTTTACTACATTGCTAACTGTCCTACAACATTTAAAAATAAATGCTTAAAAAACCAAGAATATGTTTTTGCTAAACAAGAGTTCTTTTTTATTACTGTCAAAACATGGCCCAGATGTTTTACTAAGACAAACGGCCAAAAACTACACACCGCGAAAATCTCAACGTCTATCAATAATTGTAGTAATTTTATACACTATCTCGTGTTTCTATTTAACGGCATGAGAGACAAATAACACTTATAAAGTTCTCTTCCTTTTATCTAGAAAAAAATCATATTTAATGTTGTCTATTTTGTACAAATGCATTAATTAAATGATTAGATGATTAACTTCGAATATACTCACGTAAAAATGTTTTCTAGTTTGTTGATTTCCAATACTGTCGGCATCAGGCCTGTCTTCTTTAATATGGCCACCTGACGACGATTCCCATTTTCCTATAGTTTGTCTTTTTTTAAGATGTATCTCGTTTACGTATAAAACAAAGTTTTTCCTTTTACCCGTCTCATCAAACTCTATGTTACCCGAAACCCCCGTTGTTTGTGTCTGAAAACATTCCCGTAAACCATTGACTATTAACCTCCTCTATGGAAAATAAAATAGGCGAACTAATCCTATAAAACCAATAGGTAACAAACTTTATTCGTTATTAACTATCGTATTGTTCCACTCGTTTTGTTTCCCACTTGGAAAATTCTTTTAATAAATTTATTCTGATTAAATTAAAGCTTTATGAATTAATGGTTGAATTATAGATATCAATACCAGTAACTATTATGAACCTTTTTTTGTTACAAGATTTAAAAAATGAATATAAACTTATGAATTATGTCAAGGGAACAACACAGTCTAAGCAGTTTTTTTAATGTAAAACGTGAGGCGCCATTTGCGACCAGAGCCATTCACTAGGCTGCCTCACAGGTGAGAGAAATATTTTTTGTGTTTAAGAATGTTATTATGTAACACCGTTGTAATGGTGTTCTTTTTTTGTTTATTCTTGGATTCAAATCTGAGGCGAATTAACAAATGATCATTTCATTATTCTTCTCGATAGGTAAAAATTTTGTTATTTTACGAAGGCGAAAGTAATATTATTTTACGAATTTCGGTACATAATGTAATACGGGTGATACATTTTCTGTTTTTTTTTTTCGCCATCTTTAACACTTGCGTGATATAATCTTGCAACTCTTTTTAACTGTTTGTGATTCATCAATATTCCTTTACCTGTAATATTTCCTGTTGTAATAAAGCACCATATTCCCACCCTTCTGCATCAGAGCCACACGACAACGTCGGTGGCTTACTTATTGATGTCTTTTTTTCTAAAGTTGTCAAAGCCTTTACTATATGGTTTGCTACATCATTCATAAGTAGAGCCTCAATCTGGAATTTAAAATTGAATATATGATATAATTTTGCTGTGTATTATAAATGGTAGGTATACACCTGGAACTGTTGCCTTGCCCTCCTATACATATATATCCAAATATGCCCTGCCTACAACATACGTTCTGTCACAAGGAGGGGAATCATCCGGGGAAGTAATACGGCTTCTGAGAAGATGGGCGTGAAGTAGCAGTATTTTACTTCTGCGTTTCATCTGGTAAGTGAGGTAATTGGGGCCCATTTTAATAAAAGATGTCAAAAAGTTGGAATTTGAAGCTACTACGTTTAATCGCGAGACTATAAGCTGGGACTCTAAGCCTCAAAGCTACAGCATCGATACCTATTTATGGTATTCTACGAAGGATACTAATAATAATAATAAAATATCATAAAGCAGGAAGAAGAGAAGTGTACTCTACCGGCATGTCAGTGACAGGTGGGGATACGGTATTGATTGCCCATCTTTCCACTCTCTGAGCAAGGAAGTGCTGAGCGTCTATCAGTTTGTCGTATTCAGTGACACTGAGCCAAGTGATATTGGAACGAAATTCTGTCAGTTTATGAGCAACGATTGATGTGTCCATCGTTGAGAAAATATAATGCTGCAAAAACAGAAGGAAAACAAAAAATGTATTAGATCCGACTAAAGTAAAGACTTATAATAATGTAATTATTAATGTACCTGATAAAAATCATCTAATTTTAACATTGTTATTATATCCATGTATTTTAACACGTTGTCCACGTGGCAGTCGATGAAGAACCGTGTTTCTTGGCTGTTTTGAAGCTCTTTAAAAACCTAAAAGTATTTTTTTATGAATGGTAGTAAATTTTATGTTTTCATTTTTCATATGTTTCATATTTGGGTCTAAAATATCACTTGATTTTAATATTTAATACGCTTATATGAACGGATGTATTAAATTTATTGAGGCGTCTTATTGCTTAGATAACACTAAGAAATGTTATACGTAGGTAAGTTTTGTCTAAAACATAGATATGAAAGGGATTCTTTTGCTACCGGCTTAACCAGGGATGTCAATTAACTCATGATTTATGTACGAAGTACAATCTTGTACTTCGTAAATAAACGAATTTAATGCTAATTACGTGCCAGCTGTTGTCCCTGAATTACTCAGAAACTTTGAAATGAATCGTGTACTTAACTCACCTTATAATTATCACCATCGGTCTCAAGCTTTCTAATTGTAACTGGATATTGATCTGTATATTCAGCTAAAATTTTCTGTACTCTCATCAAACCTGTAATTTAGAGAAGTGATTTTGAATTTTACGTAGAACGAAGCGATTTTATCGTTACAAGGTCAGTGAAGTGATATGATGAATATCATGAATAGTTTGTAACTAATTTAGTTGACCCGCGTATTTCCTATCTAAAGTGTAATATTGATAAAAGCGTTAGCTAGTATTTCTCACTATAATAATATTGGCAATTGATTGTGGAAAGATATTTGTGAATAAAGATTATTTTAGTTAAATAAGACTTATTTTTCTACTACCAAAGTTTTATTCAATAAATAAAACTATAGTGCCGCTTTACTCTGTTAGAGTAGCAATAGATAGTTCATTCTCCAACTGACTTTTTTCTTCTGTAGAAATATTGAAATAAAATTTGTAACAATGTAAATCAATTATGTAAAAAAATTATAGAGTTTGTAATATATTCTTTGGCTTAATTATTTTATTTTGTTTTTTTAATAAAATCATTAATTTTTAACACTAACCAAACTCGTCTTCATAGAGGGCTGCGAAATTTTCCCATTTGTAGTACTTTAACAATGAAGCGTAGGCTTCTGAGGTTTTATCGCTATCGGGATAGAAGTTGATGGTTATTTTTTTAAATATCGGTGCTTCTGAGTCGTCTGTTCCTGTGTTATTGTTACTTTCAATAGTTACTGAGTCGTTTTCGAGTGTAAAGTTGGGCTCCGGCGGCTGCCAAGATGCTTGCAAATGGGGTAGCTTCGACATGGAACACTGATCCAGGATTGCAGTGTTCTTTGTAGAACTTTGTGGGCCGAAAACTGCTATAGGTTGAATTGTTTTGCTGGCGCACACTAAAAATACACATATTTGAGACCGTTTCGTTATAATTTTAACAAGAAAAGGCAAGTGACATGCAATACAATGAAAAATTGTAATGCCTCTCGAAATAGGACACACACTTAACTGGGGCTAGCGCCACAGACAATTCCAACCTCCAAATGACCCTAGCTCGCCAGAACAGAAAATTACGGCAAATCATCTTGTACGGATAACTAATCACTTGCGAGAAAAAAGCCAAGTATCTGTGGATCACTTAAGATACTCACATCGAAAATGACCACCTGGTTATAAACCTGGTTATATCCGAGCGACTTTACAACCTAATAAACCCACCAAAATGTCCTAAAAGAATAAGCTTTTGTTATACAACGCTTGCATGCGACCTAAAATGTCCTACGCTTGTACGTCTTTCGCCACATCCATCATAAAGGCCTTTACACACTTCTCATCATTCAAAATAATATTATCAGCCTCGTAACCGATGCTAGGCGACATATGTACATCAGACCCACGGAAGGTCCCGCTAGACAACACTATACCAACCTATATTGCTAACACCCATAACAAATTAGTTCGTCTCCACATACGAGGACGGCGAAACCGTCGCAACGCGTACATATAGTATGTACATACATACATCCGTGTTCCAGACAATGTTTAATACAATTACTAATTTTAATAAAAAGAAATACTTAACGGCCATTGAGGTCGTGCCAGCGAACCTTGATGGGCCGTTGGTGACATTCCTCTCCATAGATACTCATTGTACAAGATTTAATTAGTTTCGAACTATATCATGTTGTACAAAAATGTTTCCTAAAATATTTATCATTGTACAGTTATACGTAGTACTTGAAATAAGTTTAAGTTAAGGAAAACTTATTTTTGAATTTGAATTATAAATTATTTGGAGTAATTCAAAATCTTGAAAACAACATTATTGGCGTCTGACGCACAGCAGTAGATCTACATTAAAGGTCGAGAGTCTGTTTGTAATTTTCAAATAACAACTTTTTACTAAATGCATATATACACGGTACATATACAAAAATATTTTTTTAACTGTCTGTCTGTCTCTGTGTTCCGGCTAATCTCTGAAAAGACTGGACCGATATTGACGGGACTTTCTCTGGCAGATAGCTCATGTAATAAGAAGTAACTTATGCTTTTGTTTTAGAATTTATTTTAATTTTAAATTCCACGCAGAGAAAGTCTCGGGCACAGCTGGTTTAGTAGAATGAAAAAAAAAAAATTTAAGATAGGTAAGTAATGTTTGACACTTTTATTAATACTTCTAAACTATACCCGGAGAGAAGTATGTTATTTGGTAAAATAAATAAAAGGATATATTTACAATCTCTCCATGTCGAAAATATGTCACGTGCGGACCGTTGAATTATAATTGGGTCCAGTCTGTAGTCATCCACGCTTGCATCCTTCATGCTATCATCAAAGGCGAGGCGTTGGGTGACAGCATCCTCTTCAAATATTCCTGCTGTGATGATTTTATATATTGCAGGTACTACTCACGTAATTAATTTAATATTATAATAACTTGTACTTTGTGTAACACTTACCAATGTGATACGTAGCGTCACTGCGGCTTTGTGAATTGCATTTCGCAAATGCAAGACACAAGGTTAGTAAACACCACCGCATAATGTAATATTTGCTCACTAATAAAGCATCTTCTTTACCGCTATACGCTAAAACATTACCAGTGTTGTTAGTTTTTAGACATAATGCGTTAATTCCAATATAGACACAAAATTATTAGAACATTTAAACATCTTTCTCACTTATCAAGAAATATCTATCTTCCTGGATTGTTCTAGACTGTCAGCATGTCAACAATAAGTAAGAGCAAATCACGTCCGTGGTTTAATATCGCTATACTCCGTTTCGCCCACATTAATAGTGGGAGATGTGACCTAAAATTGTTTTCCAAAAATATTTCAGCCGGCTCGCCTCCGCTCGCCTCAACCGCGTTTACTATTTTAGAGGTTACAATTATGCGTTACTCAAGTCTAATATTATTGTTTTTAACGTTTCAATTGACAAAAGTGAACGCGTTTTCTCGTTTTCCCATTGGTATGGCACAGCTACTGTAGATACGCGATTGTCCGAAGTGGTTTCTTTAAGATAATGAATTATTTTCAGGAGCGTTATTTAACTACCAAACAAACCCAACGTCCGAAGTGGTTTTTGAAGTCCTGGCGAGTTCCGACACCTCGAAACCATTTCATGGACGCAATTTACATCCCAATGTTGTGGATACTTTTTCTACAGCACTGGAGCGTGAGTAAAAAGCTTAAAATGTTTTTGTAATCTTAAGGAAAGTTTAGAAATATACGTACAAAATACAATTTCAGTGTGCTCCATTACTTCTAAAAATGGTAGCGTCGCAGCATTGATTGATGTTCGTCCCACGAATGGAGTTTGTGATATTACCTGCTTGCTGTGTAATAAATTAAACGTAAGTAAAGTGCTTTTAAGTCATTGTTTATTTTGTTGTTGATTATATTCAGAATATTTAAAACAAAGTATATATTTTCTACTTTTATTATAGATGGTACTAATGAATCCATCCGAACTCAATAAATGTTTTATTACGTGATCTTTGAAAAGATTCACATTTGTAGTCGCAGGGGCGCTTATTGCATATAATTTTTTGATAGGCGCCTATTACAGGGGCAAAAGAATCAACAAATATTTAAAAAAATAATAAGGATTTAACCGCCTTTGATATGTTTTTAAATCAGTTTCGAAAGAATGTTTTATTTATTAACAGTGTATATTCAAATCGAGAAATCGCAAGCGATCAAACCTTCACCCTTCTTCTATTTTTCAGATCTCTCACCTTTCCGTGGGTTGGCAAATAACTGATACGTCAGACGAAGATCTATTCACATTCTTTTATCATCCGCCATCGGAACTTATTTCTAAAGCATATGCAACTCTTATCAAGGAATTAGAATGGGACAGATTTACTATATTTTATGAGGATGATGGGAGTAAGATTAAGATTTTTAACATGTGTAGTAAACCCTTTACTGATACTTACTTATACTTGGAAGCTCTTAGTCCAATGATTTTTTCTTCATATAGTCTACGGACTGAAAGCTCAAAGATCAATCCCTAAATAAAGATTTATTTTTTTTAGGTTTTATTCGACTGCAAGAAGTAATCAATTCCTGGCCTTACAAAAATGATCACATTCATTTTGAGAAATTGGAACCTGACGGGGATAATAGAGAGACTTTTAAAAATGTTTTTGTAGTTTTACGGATAAGTTACCACGTGATTGACTGTGACATGAATCGTATTCAAAAATATATGAAGGAAATTGTGTCGGTTAATAACTCTACGCAATATCAGGTCAGCACAAATATCAGATATTTTTTTTTATAAAAAGAACGAGCAAAAAGATTACACCGATTTAACCAGTTGCACTTACATGCTTCTAAGTGTAAGCTGTTTCGAGTTTGGAGCAACGGGGATCGTTATATATCATTATTTTATTCATTTATAATTTACTACTAGTATATAGAATCATCATTAAAATAATATTTCTCCTGAAGTAGATCAACATTTTTGATTCGGTTTTTGGATATTTGCTATTGATATCCTTTACATTACTTATTGCTAAAAGATGCAAAATAAAAAAAAATACTTATACAGAGAAAAGCGTAAGGAAACTACTTCCAAACAGAAGTACGACTGATTGTACAAGGTTTTAAATAATATAATTCAATTATTTTTAATGGAATAATAAAATATTTTAGTCTTCCTTAGAAATTATCTAAGTCATATGTATTCAATACTGTGATAAGTCAATATGATTAAATTTAACTGAGGAACACGCGTTATATAACATTCAATATACCTATATTTGCAGAGTTTTATTTTAACTGCACTGGATTCATACTTAGTAAAACTTGATGAAATATCACAACTTCGGGCAAACGTTTCTACTCTTCATTTAACCAAATCAAATGAACCAATTTGGAGGGATTACGGTATAAATGCAGATGAAATGTCTGCGACGGTGAGAAAACCAATGACATACCTAAGTAAATATATTTTATGTGTTATGGATGATAATAGTCTAATTATTTTATAGTTAGAGACCGGATTAACAGCTGATGCTTTAAATCACCTTGAAAAAGCAATTCGTATAATGAGAAAGGAAAGTTCTGAATACGCCGAACCACCAGAATTATGTTTCTCTGAAGATAAAACATCTTATCAAGAGAAGGCTTGGCAACACGGAAATACTTTAAGAGAAGTATTGTTACAGGTACCAAGTTAAATATTGCATAAACTGTATCATATATCAGATAACTATCATAATAATGATGAATGGCCAATACTTGATTTTTTTTAAATTATTGCTTATAAATTTTATTTTTAAAGGTAATAAATATTACTTACATATTTTTAGACGACATTTAGAGGCACTACGGGAAATATAACCTTTGATGAGAATGGAAAACGAACCAATTTTACTTTATATTATTCAAAATTAGACAGTGAAAGTAAATTTGTACATGTTGGAACTTGGGACTCAAAGACAGATAGCATCGTTACTACAAATACAGCAGTGACAGATCGGTCCAAAGCTATAACTTCAGATTCGCTTGTTAGAGTGAGTTAATTTTTGTTATTTTAAAGGCATAAAGAAATTTACTGGACAGACCAAATAAACTTTTATGTCAATTCTCTGTTAGATTGCTACAAAAATAGGGATGCCATATTTCGACGTTGAAGAATCGAATGGCACAGTAGTGCAAAAAGGGTACGCAGTTGATCTCATTGATGGAATTTTTAGACATATTAGGCAGCAGAAGGGATACGAGGACATTAAACACGAGGTATATAAAATAGATGGAAATGGCATTGGAAACCAAATAGCAGGAACAAAAAAATGGGATGGTTTAATTGGAGAAGTTTTGGAATTAGTAAGTTATTTTACATAGTCTCATTTTTTATTTGTGTCTTCTTGACTTATAATTGATTATCATAATTTACAGAATGCAGAAATGGCCATATGTGACATAACAATTACATCAGAACGTAGCTCTGTAGTGGAGTTTTCGACTCCGTTCATGTCTCTAGGCATAAGTATGTTGGTTAGAGAACGTGATCCTCAACAACCAGACATGTTTTCTTTCATAAAGCCTTTGGCTTTAGACGTTTGGCTGTATTTGGCTACAGCTTACATTATTGTGTCTTTTGTACTTTTGATATGTGCGCGGTAAGCTATTTGTTAACTTTAAATGCAGAAAATCGCATTTTCTTTATTATTTTTATATTCCTTTCAGTATGAGCCAGGACGACTGGGTGAATCCTCATCCATGTAATCAAAATCCCGAAAATCTGCAAAACATTTGGAGTCTTTACAATTGCATGTGGCTTACAGTGGGTGCTATAATGACACAAGGATGCGATATTCTGCCAAGGTATTTCATAAATTATCGACGATTGAAATGAAAGTCACTAACCTATTGATCTAACGTGTGTACAGAAGTAGTAATATCATCTGTATACCTAGGTTGCAAGATTTTTTGATATTTTATTACAAAAACCCAATGTATGCATTTTGGTAACATAATCTTTCATCATGATCACTGCAGTTAGGACTGTTATAAACGTTTGTTTTTAATGAAATGTTTGTTTTTAGTGGATAGAAAGGATCCACAGAAAACTAATACTCTCACGAGGATGAAAGTATCCAACGCGTTATGACATTTTTACAACTTTAATTTCTCTATTAACAAAATTTTTGCTTTTGTGTTACGAAGCGATTTCTACTTTCTACTTCAGTATTTCATGTAAGTGTATTTCTTAAATTTCACACAATTCAAATAAATAAATTATTTCGTAGAGCGGCAGGGTCACGGTGGGTCACGGGAATGTGGTGGTTTTTCGCGCTCATTGTGACTGCATCGTACACAGCTAACATGTCAACATTTCTCAGTAACAGTCGTCGTGATAATGAAATTAAGGATGTCAAGGAGCTTTCGGAACAAAATGAGATATCATACGGTGTCCTGATTAATGGGTCGACATACAAATTTTTTGAGGTAAATCTAATATGCAAACCACATAATCTAATTTTCGTTCGATTTCATCGGAATTGCGTTTACGTTCAAGCACTGCCTATGAATGTTTTGAATTTAATTTGTACCATGTTTTAAACTCGGTATAAAATAAATTCCTCCTGCTTCGCTAATATTAATATTGCTCTTGTTACAATAAGGTTGCAGCTTGATTTGGAACTTATACTTCTTTTGGCGCGTTTGGAAAAAAATATGAGGGTAAAATTTTTACGATGCCCACAAACCGACCCCCAAAAAGCGACATGATGAAGTTGGTTGCTTTAAACGGTATTACCATGGCAACCAATAAAAACTTTTTGACATTTACCTATAATTCCCAGTTATAACTGTTATCAATTGCATTTAATGTCTTTTTCACAAAAAGAGTAAGTACTGGTACGGGGGATAAAATTTTTACGTATTTTTCTTTATTATACTAAATAAGTATAATTTCTGATGTGCATACATAAGTACATACTTTTTTTTACAATTGGATTTCCTTGACCTTAACGATGACCTTATTGAATATGTTTCTTCTTAACTTTGTAAAACTTTTAATTCTTATTCATTGTTCGTATTACTATATAACACTGCTATTGAAATCTTGAAACGTCATGTAAAATAAATTTATGATTTTTACTTCAGACATCGAATGATTCTGTGTATCAGAAGATTTGGACTGTAATGAAGTCGGCTAAACCTACTGTATTTACTAATAACAACGACGAAGGTCGAGACCGTGTACTTAGGAGTAAAGGCAATTACGTTTTCTTTATGGAATCTACTGCTATTGAATATTACATGCAAAGGCATTGCGAGCTTAAGATGGTCGGTTCTAAATTGGATTCAAAAGATTACGGCATTGCTTTACATAAAAGTAAGTTTAATCCGTCATTATTTTGTATGAAAAAAAGTTGTTATAAATTGTCGAATCAGTTATTAAGCTTTTATGTTAATATATATATAAACGAAATTTAATCGCCCAGGTATGTGTACATACCTGGGCGATTAAATTTCGTTTAGCGATTTGTTTCTGTAAAATTGTGTTTCTTTTCATTTATTTTCTCGTCATCGCTATCTCATAAAGTGTTGAGTATCAGTATGTAAACCTCCTATACCAACAACGTAAATACTTTAAAAATTTACAAGATGGCACTATGTGACATAGTAATTGTTGATTTGTAATCAAAATATAGATCTTTTTATGTAAAATTGTCTTTTTCGGAAAAGACGCATATACATACAGATGAAAAGCTAAACCTGATCTTAATACTTAATTTGATATAAAATCTTTATTCTTCTTTCCGAGGTACACGAAATATTGAAAAATGCTCGTTTACATTAATGTATGTATAATTACATACATTTTTGTACAATCCAGAGATAAAGTACAATCCCTCCAATTTTTCTGTTTGATACTTATACAAATTCATTATGAGATAGCCAACGTAAAAAAAGTATTAAAATTTAAACAAATATCAAAAAATTATAAAGTACATATTACATATCATAAGTATAATGTAATAACACTGGATTAAAAGCTTTTTTTTTTATTTGATTGAGAAATGTGAGAGACTGGGTATTATAACTTCTCAAATATATTTATTACAGATTCACCTTACAAGCGCTTAGTTGATAATGCTATATTAGCATTACAAGAGACAGGAGAACTAATAGCGATGAAAAAGAGATGGTGGGAGAGTGATGTGAAGGAAGGAGATTGTCAGGTATGGTCTTCAAAATGCGTCATAATATTTGCAGTTGTGAAACAAAATTTAATACCTAAATATTTCTGTTAGACATTAGAAAACGAGGAAAATGACAATGGATCACTGCAGATGAAAAATACAAGTGGAATTTTCCTCGTGTTGGGATTCGGTGGAATTCTGGGATTCTTCGTAGCTGTGATAGATTTTCTATTACATGCTAGACAGATAAGTGTCAAAGAAAAGGTTAGCAATTTAATATCCTTAATATTAAATTATAAAGTTAATTGAATTTAATCAAATAATATGTATATAAAAAATTGCTATATCGTTTCCGTATCTATAGATTTTTATCGAATTTTGCAATATAATTCTAATACAAAATACTACTAATATACTTTATGTAGGCGAACTGTTTGAAGAAGTTAAAGATTACATTGCTTCTAATACACATTTTCAGTCCAAACGCATACGTTGATAAACACAAGCCCCGATATACGTTTACCAAATACGACCGATGAAACTCTATGCAGACTTTATAGATTGGATGAGGAATATTAACCGATAAGGATACCAGTTGAACAACGTACTTGTCTGTTTTGGTTTTATTATATTGTCTTCAATGTTACAGGTGACTTTCCGGGAGGCGGTAATAAGCGAATGGCGGGCTTCCCTCGACCCTCGAGTGCTGCACAAGCCAGCGGCCCCCCCTCGCTCCGCCGCCCCTTCGATCGCATCGCAGTCACCTCGCCGAGAGCGCTCGCAATCTCGTGCTGTCTCAGTTTTAAGAGCAGCGACGTCGTTTATCAATTTTGATGAGATATATTAAGAAACATTACTACGGTGACTACGGTGTAACACAGTGACTACGGTTAGCAGTTGATATAATAAAAAACAAAAGATTGTTTAGATTTACAGTACTAAAAGATTGTATATGAACTTCTTTTATATATATCCGGTAATAGACATTGAAGTCTAAATTCTTTAATCATCAGTTTCCGTTGAAAAAGTGTAATAAATGTTATTTTGATTAATTTCAATAAGCTCGTTCTAAAAAAACCTCGTTCAGTTATTTGAAAACGTCGAGGTGGAACAAGTCAACGGCAGAGCGTAGAACTGATGATGCTCTTGAGGCGATAGATCCTGATGCGGATGAAGAGGGTCTTGAATGTACGACTGGTTTTTCCGTTTCCCAAAAACTTAAGGCAAATGTCAGTTCGGCCCAGAATGCATCCGTTTGTGTCATCTGCAATGAAATAGAACAGTGATTTAACGGTCATTGAATTTTTTTTGCCCTAAATGTAGTGTTGACTTTCATCATAAAGATTTGAAAATAGCATGACAACATAAAAAACAGTTACGTTTAGAATATTTTTAACCGACTTCAAAAAAGGAGGAGGTTCTATATTAGACCATATGTATTTCTGTTTATTACGAACCCCTGGGTTGACAGTCACACTATGAAGGTGTGTGCATGAAGTTGCAAAATGATTAGTAAATATATAAACTAATCTGTAAATACCAATATTTGTGATATAGACAAATAATAAAACTGATGAAATTTTGACGGATTAGGGTAATGGTGATCTACAATACGTGCAAACACGCGAAAAATTGTAAGTAAATACATTTTATCGTGTTGACTCAGGACCGTGATCATAGGTAGAACAAAACCTCGGGCTCTGGTTGTTTCGTATTTCAACGCAAACGGCATAAAGGGTCAAAGGGATGAAATCGCGGAATTCCTTCGCGATTATAATGTAGATATTTTCCTAGTGCAAGAGACATTCTTGAAACCTAGTGTACGCGATCCCAGAATCGCAAATTACAATATTGTCCGCCACGATCGGTTAGCAAACCGTCTGGGAGGCACACTAATTTATTATAAACGGTCCTTGCACTGTTGCCCGCTCGACATTCCAGAGCTAAATCAAATAGAGGCATCCGCGTGTAGGTTAGCGCTCACCGGCCACAGGCCGCTTGTACTAGTCTCAGCCCACCTCTCGGGGAATAGAACCCTCCTTCAAAGCGACCTAGATACGCTTCTTAACTTAGGCCCTTCCGTGATAATTGCAGGAGATCTAAACTGCAAACATGGCTCATGGGACATCAACAGCATCCCAAACAACAACGGAAAGCATCTCTTTAGCTTATCCGATAACCTAAATTTCAGTATAGTCGCTCCCGCGACTCCCACTAGGTATCCTACGGTGGACAACTACCAGCACGCGTCACCGAGTGTCCTAGACATAATGTTATTCAGGGAGGTCTCGCTCGACATCGAGTCGATAGAGACAATCCATGAACTAGACTCAGATCACAGGCCCGTCCTGTGTAAACTGGGCCAGAACGCCGGCGCGGTCCCTCCGACCAAATCCGTAGTGGACTGGCATCGTCTTGAGGTCAAACCTCAAGGCCTTGGACCCCCAGGACTTAGTAGACTTACCCGAGACGATAGCTACGTTCGATGACGCAAATCGAGCTATAGCGAGTCTCCGTGAAACTATTACTTCCGCAGTCACAGACTCGGAACGGACGGTGAAACTGTCGGGCGACCGACGGTTTAACTTTCCGCCCGACCTACGACTGCTAATTAGACAAAAAAAAATGCAGCTAAACGCGCCTTCGACCGATACCGATCGGAATCGAACCGAACTCTACTTCGACGCCTTCAGCTAGAAGTCAAAGATCGTGTATCGGAACACCGACATACAACGTGGGACACTCTCCTAGAGGACATCGAGCCATCGCACACCGCCTACTGGCGGCTGGCCCGCAGTCTGAAAGCAGACCCCCGCGAATCTCTACCGCCGTTAGTTAGACCTAATAGCGCTTCAGTAGCCCTAGATGACTCCGAAAAAGCCGAATGCCTTGCGGACAACCTAGAGCAGCAATGTACGCCATCGCGCGAACACAGCGATTCGGCCCACCTAACGGAGGTGGACCGCGTAATCGAGACTAGGGCTGCGCTTCCACCGGAAGGCGAACCTTTAAATTCAGTGACCCCCGAAGAGGTCCAAGATATTATTAAAAATTTAAAACCAAAATCCGACCCGGGCCCAGATAATATAAGTAATAAGATTCTCAAAGCTCTCCCTGGGCCGCTTATCTGTTTACTGGCGACAATTTTCAATACGCTTCTCTCCAGTTGCTCCTTTCCGGACGACTGGAAGCAAGCCACGGCTATCGGCATTCGCAAGCCGAATAAACCAACCAATAAGCCCTCTAGCTATCGTCCCATCAGCCTCCTCAGTTGTCTGGGGAAGCTCTACGAGCGGCTATTGTTAAACAGGCTCAAAGAGCACGTATTTTCCAACGGCCTTCTGCCGACGGAACAATTCGGCTTTCGAGCTAAACACTCTTGTCCCGATCAGTTATACCGCCTAACGGAGCACATCCTAAAAGGCCTTAACCACCCCAAACACATCAGCACAGGGGCTCTCTTCTTCGATGTCGCAAAAGCATTCGACAAAGTCTGGCACAACGGCTTGCTTTACAAGCTGTACACACTCAAAGTGCCAGATAGGCTCGTACACACCATCCGAGCCTTTTTGTTGAACCGCTCTTTTCGATATCGAGTCGAGGGCACCCTCTCCACAAGCCGCCGCCTCACGGCCGGCGTACCACAAGGCTCCTGCCTCTCACCCTTGTTATTTACGCTCTACACGAGCGACATACCTAGAGACCCCACGTCAATCTCGCGCTTTTCGCGGATGACACGGCGCTCTTTTACTCAGATCGCAACCTCAGTCAATTAACGACTCGACTCCAAAGCGCCGCCGACCGCCTCGGCGATTGGTTCCGCAAATGGAGAATCGATATTAATCCAGAAAAAAGTGTGGCGATTCACTTCACTCGTAGCACCCCCAACCCCCATCCGCCACACCGTTACAAAGGTCCTCGCCAGTACAGAAAGTTGGGGCAAATATCACTATACGGCCAAACTCTCCCCTGGGAGAAAACGGTCAAATATTAAGGAGTCACTTTCGACTCGCGTATGACTTTCACTACGCACATCAATCAAGTCCGAAATAAAGCCGCGTTCGTCTCCGGCCGGCTACACAATTTAACGAATAAGCATAGTAAAATGCCCTTAAGGCACAAATTACTGTTATATAAAGCTTGCGTAAGGCCAATCATGTCCTACGCATGCATGATCTTCGCACATATAAATCCTACGCGCATTGACGAATTGCAAGTAGTTCAAAGTAAGTTTATCCGCCGCGCAACCGGTGCGCAATGGTATCAGCGCAACGTCGACCTGCACAGCGATTGCAGACTCCCGACGATTCGCGCACATTTTAAAGATTTGACAAAACGGTTCTTCGATAGAGCCCAGCATCATCCCAACCCTCTGGTGGTAAGCGCAGCAAACTACCTACCGGACACTAACGCGAACGTAAACAAGCGTCGCCCGCGAAACGTCCTCATCGACCCGGTTGACGAAGAGGACTTAGACACGATGGACCCACCGCCGGGGTTCCCACCGGATAACACTACACCCACAGTTAGTGTAACAACAATCACACCAGTTCGCCCTCGCCTCCGAGCACGGCGAGACCCACACAACGCGTACACAAGGTACACCCGCGTTCCGGGGCGGTTCTCACCGCTCCCAGCCACCGATTAGCTAAATGCACAGTCGACGGCCGTCGGGGTCTCGGTCCGAACCGGCGACCTCGACGGCCCTTAGATGACACACCATAGTAGTTAAAACGCACGCATGAGCACATGCGCGACCCTACCCATAGCGGAGGGTCCAAACCCGTGGGTTCTGGCTAGCCCACCGGTTCTGCGTCCGATGAAGCTTTAATAGTCTCGGGACTGAAAGCAAAAACATCAGTTAATACAAGATACAAGATACCGTGATCATGTGATTTTTATACACTTGATAGGGACACTATAGACCTTAGTATCTGGTATAAATTTCAACTAGCTAGGTCCACCCTTTCCTGAGAAAATCGAAAAAAATGTGAAACACGGACAGACAGACGGACTAGAGAGTGATCTTATTAGGGTTCCTTTTTTACTTTGTAAGGTACGGAACCTTAAAAATGAAAAGTAACGAAGTTTTATTTCAGAGAGTGAATAATATTTCAAATAGGCAACGACAGTATATTATTGAAGTATCACGATAATCACCCGAAGTCATGTTGGTGACAAAACTATGCACTGCTAGGCTTGATCATCTGTACAAAGAATACTTTGAATGATATTAGGGAATGGACTATCACGCGATCATAATGTAGATTAATTAAAAACGCATAGACGAGTGCCCGCAAGCCATTGAATTACCTTTTTTCTAATTATAAATAATAAACCTAGAATGAATATTAATTATGTAATTTATTTTAAAACAGTTTACCTAAATGTTTACATAATCCATTACCTTTTGTTCAATGGCAACTTCTCTCACATGCCAAAGGAACTCAAAAGCTCCCATGGCCGCAGCCATTCCACACCCGATACCCAGAACCACAAAAACACCACCAACATTATCTACGCCCAATTCTTCAGCACTTGCTCCTTCTTCGCCCGCTTCCTCTTCCTGAGAAAAGTGTACGTGTTTTACGAATGTTGAAGAACATAAGGAAATTCGAAATGTCTAAAAATCAAACTTACTACACAAGCTTTTTCTTTGGGAACTTTCCACCAACGATTTTTTAGTTCAACTAATTTCCCACTTTCAGCTAACTTTAATACCGCATTATCAACAGCTGTCCGATATGAAGAAACTGAAATTTTTATTAAAAAATTTATTAACTTTTAACGTTTCAATTTGTTATAAATCAGTTTAAAGTGTATATTTGGAAAATCTCACAAAATGGCATCGCTATTCCATATCCTTTTGAATCAAGTGTAGAACCGACTTGCATGAGATCACAGTGTCGCTCCAACTGGTACTCAATGGCAGTAGATTCCATGAGAAAGGCGTATTTTTTTTTACTCTTAAGCACTCTTTCTACTCCTTCATCGTTGTTTTTAACAAAAACTGATGGTCGTGCTGATTCCATAGCTCCCCACATTCTTTGATAAGTCGAGACATTGGAACGCTAAAACAGTTATAACGTATATCTAACTCTTAAAAATTCAATGCGGGACTATTGGCTTGATAATCTTATAAAAAGTGGAATAGCACTAAACAAGTAAATTATTAAATTACACCAAATAAACTAAGCAACGCTATATAATAATAAAACTCTACTCGTCAAATAAGAAATTACAACAGCGATTATAATCAGATTACAATAGATGTCTTATACTTTCAATATCAAAATCTATAGAATTCACGTGCAATGTTCTGCAATCTTAATAGTTCATCGTTTAATGAAAGTCAATTCCTTGATGTTATTAATATATTATGCATTTTCATTGGTGTCGAAGTTTACAACCAAAAACTAGCTAACTTGGGTTAACAATAAGCAAAAATAACTTTTATTGAAGAGTTACAAACGATGCAAAAAAATTTATAAATAAATTAGTGTTTACGTATTTAACGGTCATTAGTGAAAAAATTGCAATCAGAGTTTTCTCTTTTATAATACGAGTATAGAAAAGGATACATTACATAGCTTGCCCGTAATTTACCTTGAAAAATGAAAAAGTTGATCCACCTTTGACTGTGCCGTATTTAATTTTAGTTTGCATTGCTAAATCTTCAGCACTTTTAATAGAGTCATCCATAGCTGCATTCGTTAGGAAAGCAGCTAAGTTAGCAGTGTACGAAGAGCACATAATCAATGCGAAAAACCACCACATACCACATACCCATCGCGTAGAGTATCCCCTGGTCAATAAATTAAGCGTTGGAACAGATTGGACAGTTAATAATAAATATACAATTTTATAAACCTATGGTTTACAAAAATGTATATTTATTTAAAATAGTTATATAATAAATATAACTTTTTTAATATATTATTTATTAAATAATTTTTTTACATTGTTTCCATAATTTTTACTTTAGAATGCAATCACAATTAAACTAACAATGTATTATAAAACTCATATTTATAAAGTAAAATACAAAGTACACTTACATTTAAACAGTTAGTTTTAAATTTCAAAAGGACAGATTAGTATTTCATACATATGTATGTTATTATTTAATTTCAATAAATATTTTAACTTCATACGTGGTAGGCGTCATGGAAGACCTGCGTGAAGTGGAAGTGTTATACATTTGCATTGCGTCTGGTGAGTGAGGTTACCGGGCTCAATTCAGTTGCCAAATAGTAGAACGCATTTGCCACTCCAAAGGAGTTGTAAAAGTCCATGGTCGAAGGTGATCACTTAGCATTAGGTGAACTGCTTCCTAGCTTACCAACTTGTCAAATAAAAAAAACTGAGACACACATACTTTGGCAGGATATCAGATCCTTGTGTCATTATGGAACCAACAGTTAGCCAACATGAGTTTTTAATATGCCAAATATTTTCTAATTCCTCCGGTGATTTGTCACATGGGTGGGGATTCTCCCAATCTTTTGGAGCCAATCTAAAAAAAATGAGCATTAATCGTAAAGAAAAAATATTAATGATATTTAAAGTCACACATTTGGCTCTCACTTACCTAGCAAGTATGTGTAGCAATAAAGAGACCATTAAATAAGCCGCAGCCATATAAATCCACACGTCAACAGAGAATGGCTTTAGAAACGAGAATAATTCAGGTGGAGGGGGAGTTGGTTTCGAATAGAGTATACTTATACCCAAAGTCATAAAAGGAGTTGTGAAATCTACTGAAGATCGACGTTCATACGTTATTGTAAGATCACATATAGCTAAGTCCGCTTTCTATAAAGTAAGGATATTTTCAGAAAAGTTAGGTCATTAAACAATGTGCAAATTAAAAAAAAAATATCAGTAGTTCGTAATAGTTAAACAAACAAACCCTTTCCAAAAGATATCCAATGAGACCGTCCCATGTTTTAGTATCTTTGTTATAAGATCCGTAAAGATTTCCCGGGACTATGACGATTTCATAGTTGAGGTGTAAGGTTTCTGCTAAAATTTCGTGAATCAAGTCTTTCGAGTACCCTTCATATCTGTCGTTCCCAGTTAATTCTTCACCATCTTTTGGCACCCTTTCTACTAAATATGGAGCACCAATTCGAGAAACTACTCTAAAGGTTTTGTTTTGCCATTTTTCAGCTAACAGGTCTGAGACTTCGACGGCTGTTCGAGCATATGTAAAGCCCGTCTCCGGATTCCATTTCGCAATGCTATTAAATCCATTATTAGAAAGTTCCATCACTTCGACATTGAAGAAATTACGCTCACCCGTAACGTTATCTAGTACAATTTGATCTGTTATACCAAATATTGGGTTCTGAAATATTATAAAACTACAATAATTGTACGAACAAAAATGCATATAACATTAAAACTTGATAATATATGAATAAATAATTAATGAAATAAAAAAAAAATATTTTATAACATTTTGCAACTCTTTTACCAATACTGTATTTGAAATTCAATATACCGTTAACAAATCGTTTAAAAATTCTTCTCCAATTTCCCATTTAATATCAGAATTACACTCAAGTGTTTGAGGTTCTATTTTGAATCCCTCTGGAGCTCTTTCAATAGCATCGGTAATTAGTCTCGCAGCATCACTGGCCAAAGCCGCTTCAACCTAAAAATTAACTTTTTTTTTCTTATTCGCTCATTCTCGATATAATTATAATTAGTATTAGTGACTTATTTTCATTACTTACGGTAATTTCTTGAGTTGTTCTAGGAATTTGAACATCAGGAGAAGCTCGAGCTTTCCAATCGGCCAAATAAGATTGTGTTATTGAATTAGAGTGATCGAAAATTCTTAAACAAGTTACATTTGACAAACCGAATCGTAGTTCTTCTAGATCCAAAGTATGAGCGTCCAGTGACATCAGAACGTAACTCTAAAAATTGGGAAAATTTTTAAGTAGATCGCGTTGGCTATAATTTTTTTTAAGGAATGTTCGGAAAGCGGCTCTGACATATTTATTAGTTACATGAATACATTATTTACCTTAAGATCCGCCTCCATTAATTCTACGTCTATCTCTTTTTTTTAAACGAGTATCCAAGGTTACTCAGAGGTAATTTAAGTTTTCAATAGTGTCTAATTAATTTTCTGAATCATCGAAGAGATCAGAGATAAAAACCTCCTCACATTTTTAAGTACACATAATATTACAAGATAAAAATAATACGTACGACATAGTCTTCGAAAAATTTAACTTCACTTGCTTGACGTAAATATTCAAGCACTCTATCTGCGGGACAGTCAATAATAAGTCTGGTAGCTCCAGTAGATTTAATTGCTTTCAATAGAGGTCTATTATCTTCCCCGGGTGTCAATCTTCGAACTAGCCATTTATGTTCAGGGTCAGCATGTTTTAGTATCTCTTGAAGCCTTATCAAACCTATTTTAGAGAAAACATATTATTAAACGTAATGAACGTGTAATACGCAAGTGTTGAAGTATTATTATTATAATTGAGAAAAATAGATGTATACCGTGATCGTCGTCGTAAAGCAGCGTGTATGAATTCCATCCGTTGTTTTTGATATATAAAGCGACTGCTTTCGAAAGCGAGACGGCTTCAGGAAACAAATTGATTCCAGGTGGCGAAAATCGCTTTAGCCCTCGAACAGGAGGCGGCCGCCATACGGCCTTATATTAAAACAAGGTTTATTAACATCACCAAAAATATATGAAAGACTACGAGTAGACTGTATTTTTCCTATACGTTTACATAAATAACAAATTAAAATAGAAAGATCACAATATAAAGTAATCAAAAAGCAGAACCCGGATGTGAAAACAAAGTTGATTGTTACTTGTCTCGACAGCTATTTATGAAATCTTAGATTATCGACATGTTGAATTAATGCAATTTAAATAATAAAAAAAATTTACATATAAAAGAAGTAGAAATTTATTGCAGTGATATTTCAGTAAGATGCAGTCATATACACCACACAAAATCACTGAGAGGAATTATTCTACTTCAATGCTTGGTTGTTTATAAATCTCTAACTAAAGTATAGATATGCATATATGGCACACACGTTCCTTTTGTCAAATGGATGTGACATACTTGTATATGAGGAACTCTAGCTGCCCTACAGCGCGCTTCAACTATCGCAGCGGAATTTGCATCAGTTGGTCCAACTATAGCTACAACGCCGCTGGCTAAAAGATCGCATGCTGAAACAAGAGTTAGGGTGTTGAAATGTAGTATTCTATGTAAGTGCTTCTCCTACATTTTATATCTTTTACTGCTATTTGAGGATACATTTAAAAGTTATTATTAATTTCTTGAGAAATAAACAGGGCCTGTAAAAATATTTTCTTGTAATTACATTTTTATGTATAGACTGTACATATATATATATTAATAAATAAAACAAATGAATCTGAGGAATTTATGACTGGTCGTGTTCCGTGACGATAATATCCGATTAAAGCGAAACATCCATAGACATAGTTTCAATTAACAAAGTTTAGCGTTCACGTAAATTTAGGAATTGTTGCATTACTTATTTATGCCTTATTTAATTAGTCCCATTCCGGGTGTATGAGAAAAAATATTTTATTGTGAAGAAATGTCTTTGGGCGTTTTATGTTCTTAATTATATTGTTTTACCAGCTCGTGAAGCTGCAAAGCTGTCTCCGTATGGGGTATAAATGACTTTCATGGTATAATGGTAGCGTTTACTCTCCATTGACGCCCGTGTAAGCGCTGACGCAAAGGCCACTTCCGTAACTGTATTCGGTGGGAAGATTGCACCTGAAAATAAATTGATCAGTCTGGCATAAATTCGCAAAGTAGTTTATAAAGCATAAGTTTCAAAACGAAGATCAACGTTATCACACACTACTTTAATATTTCGCTTAAAATACGCCAATTAGCGTGTTTTAAAATTGTTGAAAAACTGTATTATTGAGTAATCCTTGTTTTGGGAATAATAGAAATCAATGACAAACGAGTAAGTTACACTTAAGTTTTGTGTTACCACAAATCGCCTAATCATTTTAGTATGTAACAATGAGTAAGTTACATTGTATGTATATAGATGTATATAATACAAAGTTGGACGACGTTGTTACAATTTCCTGCAAAAAATTATTATTATAAATATACTGTGTATTGTATAATAAATTATTTTATCGCGTCATATCTCATCCAATTTAGTATATTATAAAAGAGGATTTGGATAAGTCAGTTACAATTACTGCTCAACTGATCAACAAACACAAAATTAAATTAACAAATGAGGTGTGTTGGTCTTTTCTTACCTACAGGAATAGTCGTCTTTAAATATTCAAATTTTCTGAAAGCACTCTCGCTGGACCCAATGAGGAAATAAAGTAAACAAAAAATAGATGTCCCTGCAAATAAAAACAAATTAAGAAACATAAAATGTGTATTGATAGATCAATACCTGAAGAAACGCACCAGGATGACGAATCATTTTTTCAATGCGAAATAAATTCAACATGAAGTATTAGCTTTGTTACAATTCCGCGTTCAATTCCGGCTGGTTTTAATCAAAGTTTAACCGTTTCATTTTATATTTTCTTTTATTGTAAACACCGCGTAGGTCGCTGATGGCCAGTCGTAAGCGCGCAGATGCGACTGGGTCGGCGCATGCCAATCGAGTTCATGCACGCAGCTACTGCAAACTCTGTTCCAACTTTTCGACGTATGCCCTATCGCATAGAGCATCTTAGCCAAATTAATATTGATGTGTATTTATAGACGACTGCAACAAATTGCTGAATCGAAATTAGCTTCTGTCTATATTGTTGCATTAGATCGTATGCTGAATTTTCAAAATAAGAGAGGAAGTAAGTGATATTATAGCTTATATGTTGACTAAAACGATAGTAAATTAAAGTAGATACAATATCTGTCTGTATCTGATGGAAAGATTCTTGTTCGGAGATGAAATCATAGTCAGTTGTCTACAAAAAGTAAATAAGTCGTTCATGGGGCAAAGTGTGCGCATGTATAATAAAATCCCACAGTCGATATTAAGTCTGCCGCTTGACCAATTTAAATGTAAAATTAAAAATCAACTAATGATTAAAGCATATTATACCATTTCGGAATATCTTGACGACGCCAATGTGTGGAGTTAATACTGTTGATACTCACGTAGGCTAGAATAAGACTATTATACCTGTATATTATATTGTACCCTGATATTTTTGAAAAAGAGCAACTGTTGAGTTTCTTGCCGGTCTCTTCTCAACAGAAACCACTTTCCGAACCGGTGGTACCTTACGAACCTATACACATAATCTTTGATGTAAAATTTGACGATTCATAAGAGCGCGCAAGCGTCTATTTGAATAAATATATTTTTGATTTTTTGATTTTGATTTTGTATACCTTCGATACGAGTATCATCCTGTGGTGGGGTGGTATCCAACTCGTGTAAACGTTGGAAGTCGTCCATTAGTCTGTTTATTAGTAAGACATACAAATAACAATTTACGTTATTAATGACATTTACGTTAAGTGCAAGTCGGGCTCGTGCATGAAGGGTTCCGTACCATTATCTATAAAAAAGGCAAAAATCAGGTCTGTTGAACTGGAGCCCGGTTAAATATTTTTTTATTCTGTTTCTTAATATTTTTTGTTGTAGTGGCCACAGAAATACATCATCTGAGAAAATTTCTACTGTCTAATTATCACAGTTCATGAGTTACAGGTTGGTGACAGACGGAAAGACTGCGAAGTCTTAGTAATAGTGTCCCGTTTTACCCTTTGGATACGGAACCCTAAAAATAATTATTCTATAAACCACTAGCTCAAGCTCATCACGCTTCGCTCTGGCTTCTTTTCTTTTATATTTTGCAATAAAAAGTATATGAATCGAATAAGAGTAAAAAATATATATAAAACACTCTCCTGTTTAAGTGCTATGTTGTGAACAAATATTAAATCAATCGATTGGCTAGTTTTTGAGTTTTGTGTTCACAAACATACGGAAATTAAATTAATACACATAAAGCTATATGTTTATATCTGCTTTGGAAATTACATACGTAAACATATTAAATGTCCGGCTTTCCACAATTCGAAAGTATATGTCGTTCCACGCTTTTTGTGTCTTAATAAATATATAATAATCCAAAAATTTATATAAAAAGTGTCCATGTTAATACTTAAAGTAAAAGATTGGAAACATCAAATATTTGCTCGAGAACTGATAAATACACGAAGCATAATAAGCTTTAAAATATTAGAATATATGAAAACTTTTTATGTGTAGAAAAAAGGAACTCTGCAGGACATAATTCATAACATCAAGTTAAACATAGGATACGCCAACTTAGTGTTTTGTGCAAACTGCTGTAAAACTGATTATAAATTATTGTTTGTATAGTTTATCAAAACATAAATTGACATTTTTTCAGACGTCTTTCACGTTTGTGCTTCATTACTTTGTAGTTAAATGTGTCAAGATATAACATAACAGTTTAAAAAAATATGTTTCTTAAAACATAGTGAAACTCAAATTTTTCTAAAAATATTTATAAAACCTAATATACATAACCAGGCAAATCTTAAATGAGGATGTGTGTCGAATAGTCCATTAACTTTGTTAAGCACGGGACAAGTATTTGTGTGACCCACAGATAATTGTTTCAGATTTGGGTGTTCGTCCACGTCAAATATATGTTTGTAAAACGCTCTTAAAACACAGGATAATGTTATCCTACAGTAAGGGCAACATTTTTTATTTATAAAAATATAGGAAATCATTCGAATAGATTATGATAATACAAATTATAATTGTTATAATTATAATTTCTAATATAATAATCAATTCGAACACCATCGTCAAACGATTTGAATTCGGAACTTTGAACTATAATGGCATAATTAGGTCTCCGAGTTAGTGTGTCAAAGTGTTAAACAAGAACAGGTGAGCAGTATATGCAACGGCCGTAATGTTTGGCCAAGCTCCAAAGCACTGGTAGCTCTAACTATTAGCCGCTAAAATTACTCGATGGTACAGAAGTGTGGTTGACGCATGTAAAACAGGACGTATTATGCGTATATTACGTACATTTACCTAAGTAAAAAGTAAAGTAAAGTATCAGCCTATACATTTTCCACTGCTGGGCAAAGACTTCCTCTGTACAGAGGGTATCAGGGCATAGTCCACCACGCGGCCCCATTGCGCATTGGCGGACTTCACATATCTTCGAAATATTTTTTTTTATTATTATTTCGAAAATATGCAGGTTTCCTCACGATGTTTTCCTTCACCGCGGAGCACGTGATAAGTCAGCACTTAAAGTTAAAAACTTCATTGGTGCCGGCACCGGGGATCGAACTCAGGTTGCTCGAGTATATTGAATTAAAGGCGAGCGCCCGGACACTGAGCTATCACGGTGAATGTATGTAAGTTTATATGCAGATAAATAAAAGAAAAGAATAGTTATTATTTAATTATAATCTCCCCAAATAATTGCGGTTTAGGCAGATTATAATTTAATAATAACTTTATTCACGCCAACAATAGTTAATTAACTCTTTTTTACTTTATAGCATCGATATTCAAGGGGTAAGAAAACGCGATATAATTTGGAATAGTTTAATTTACGTGCCTAAATGTTTTACAAGTACGCAGATGATCAAGCACTCTTCATTGATCTCTTTTTTCTTTTACAGTTTTGCAAAAGAGTTATATTTTAAAAGTAAACGTAAAGTATCAGCCTATACATGTCCCACTGCTGGACAAAGGCCTCCTCTGTACAGAGGGTATCAGGGCATAGTCCACCACGCGGCCCCACTGCGCATTGGCGGACTTCACATATTTTCGAAATATATATTTTTTTGTTATTATTTCGAAATATGCAGGTTTCCTTCACCGCTGAGCACGTGATAAGTCGACACTTAAAATTAATAATTTCATTGGTGCCGGCACCGGGGATCGAACTCAGGTTGCTCGAGTATATCGAATTAAAGGCGAGTGCCCGGACACTGAGCTATCACGGCTCTTTTTACCATTTACCTAGCACACCTAGCATGTTTAAAATTGAAAATTTTTGTGGATGAATGAAAAACACTTCGGCACGTAATGCTAAAAATGTAATCGAAAAAACGTGGATACATGTCGAAATTTTCGCGCTGTGAAGTTATCGGACACATAGCTTAGTTAAAATATGTAGAAAAAGTATGAAAATATTGTCGCCGCTGTGGGAATCGAAACCACGTCTTCGGCATTCGCGGCCTGACGCTTTAACCACTAAGCTAAACGGCTGATTGCCACACCGACGAAAATCTTAACGTCTTTTATCTACATATTTTTTTAGCATTTGAAGCAGTGCTTGGCGCATTCATTAATATATCCTTTCCAGCATACAAACATACATAGCTTAACTACTAACGCAACTAAGCATAACATAGCTTAGTTGGTAAAGCTTTTGGATGCGAACTCAGAAGAAGCAGGTTTGAATCCCACGAAGCCGAAAGTTTTTATACATTTATCTACAAAGATTAAAATAGCTTCAAATTTCGTATTAAGTGCAAAGACTAGTACTAGAAATAATAATGAATCCTAAATATCTAGCACATGCTTATATTACCGTAGCTTTTAAAATATTTATTCTCGTTTTTTTCTTCAGGAAAAAGGAGGCAAATGCGCAAGCGGGTTACCTGATGATAAGCGATCACCGCCGCCCATGGAAATTTTTTGACTTCTTGAATTTTTTGACTTAGCTGGGTGCACTCTTTCTGTGCGTCTATTGATGCTTTGTCTTCTACCCCACCGGTAGACGCCCGGAGAAAAATCCACTAATAAGGCAATTTTTACTACGCTCCTGACTAAGAACCGACGTTGGGCTGAGAGACTTAAGCTGTTTTAGCTACAAGTTAGCCATTTACTACTGGGCCTTTTTTTCAAAAAAGTAAGACCAAGTAGTAAGTAAGAGCAACTTTGCTGCAGCACTTAGATGAGTTCACTTCGGAGAGCTGAGCATGCATCCAACCTTCATTGCTGGGCTGCAAAGAATGCGTAAGTAAACGTAAACCACACAAAATATGACAGCTGTGTAAGGCATTCAATTTGCACTTTCTTATAGTTGTTTAGTCTTATATCTTTTTAGGATAATTTATCACAAAATTCTTTACTTCGTTTTGTTTTGTTTTTAAAAATACTTTATATAAATATTTATCAAACCTTATGGTTGTTTAAGTTGTTTGTATCAGAAGTCAAGTCTTCTGTATTTTATATGTAAATACTCAATTTCCGCTTTATTCTTCTCAAGGAAAGTACTATCTAGTTTCAAAAGATTTACATATCAAAGTGAACATTTCCTTTGTGAGAATACACAAGAGTGTTATGGCAATTTATAAACTATAATATGACATATATATTCACGATAAAGAACTTTAGGTCTGAAGTACTTAAAGAGAAGACTGTGGGTATTGTTCACAAATCTTTTGTGATTA